TGAATCTTAGTGTCACCTTGACGTCCGTGACGGTGCATGGTGCCCCCTTCGAATTTCAGGACGACTTCTTGACCTCCTGTTTTGAACGATTTGGGACAGTGTTAAATGTTCGTTGGAACAAGGTCGTTGCCGGGCACTGTGTTGGTATGCTTGACGGCACCCGCACCCTGACGATGTCGCTGAAGTGAAGTACCGTCGTCGATGTCCGTGTTGGGTTACACACTCCGCTGCCTGTATCGGGGTCAACCGCGCACCTGTTATCGGTGTGGTGATGAGGGTCATCTGGCTGCAGCGTGCGACGTGGGAGCGACTGGTAGGGTGCATGTTTTTTCGTGTGGAGGATTTTCTGCCCCTGTTGCGTTCGGACAGTTCTGAGGACGGTGTAGGTGCTGCGCCTGAGGCGCCTGATTGTTTGTCTGCTGCTCCGCCTGTTGAGGCGAGTTCTCTGGCCTGTGCGACACGTCTGGTGACTGCTGTGGCCCCTGGGGTTGTTGAGCCGGTGTGTGTGGGTGTTGGACCGTCGCCTGCGCTGCGTGTAGTGCAGGATGTCCCAGTGGAGGTTCATGTCCCACCCCCACCTGTGGAGTGGTACCGGCTCCCGGGGACGCGGGTTCTGCTGTTTTGGAGGGGGGCTTCGGCAGGGGGAGGTGCCTGCCGTGCCTGTGTGTGTTGGCGACTGTAGTTCTGCTACTTCCATCCCTTTGCAGAAGCGTGCGCGTCGGTGTTCTGAGGCTGTTTCCCTGGATGATGTGTTCTGAGGCTGTTTCCCTCAGTGTGGGCGATGTGGCCTCTGTCGCCTCTTCGGACGGTGTGGATGTGAAGATGGTGGCCGTGCCTGGGGGGGGGGGGCTGCTGGGCGTGGTGTGGTGCGGCCTGTCTCGAAGCGTTCGCGGCGGGCTTGGAGTGTCCCCCCTTCGTGGTGTATCTTGGGAGGAGGTGGGGGAGTATGGTGCTCAGCTGGCGTCCCCCGCCGTGGATGATGGTGCTGTGCGGGGCTACGAAGTTGTTGCCCGTGCCCCCCCCCCCCCTCCTGCGTCTTCTGCTGTTGGATCCCCACGGTGGGGGGTTGCCCCTGATGATCGGGACCTCATCGTGGTGTTGCGGAAAGATGTGCGCCGGGGGGCCTCGGCTCCTGTGCCCTGTGGTGGGGTCGATGCTGCGCCTGCATTCCCTCCAGTTCCCCCTCCTTCATTGCCCCGGTCTGGTGGTTGCCTAGTTCCGACTGCTGGGGTCGTGCCCTGTGAGGGTCAGGTGTTGGGCCCTTATCGGGATGCCCGGGTGCTTCCGATCCCGTGGTGCTCGTCTACTGTCTGGGTGTCACGGGTGAAGGAGTTTGTTTATAGGGTGCCGGATAAGATGTCTCAGCCGAGGGCACGCCGGGTGTCCCCTGACACGTGGGTGATTTGGGATGCGTATTGCTTGCGCTTGCCGTTACATAAGTTTCCGGAGAAATATTAGTTGACGTCTTGGGCACCCCGCTCCGCCGTGCGTGGATCAGCTGCCGCCGTGAACTGGTCACACCGCCCTACGGTGCGGCGAGTCTCCCTCTAGCGTCCGCTTCTGTTTTCGTCGCCACTCCTCTCTCCACGGCCCGCCACAACTAACACTTTTGACTTTCTTCTCGTCCTCAACGTCACCGCGTCTCCCTACATCTGTCCTGGTGCAGTCATCGGGAGGGTAAACCCTTCATGCAAACTGCACCTATTCTCAAGAAGAAGAAGATGAGTTTCGGCTCCACACGTGTCGGGTTCTCGGTTCGAGAATGGACAGTACTCACCTAGCTATGTATAAATTCAACAGTGTTATTGTTGATGTTTTAGATTCAATTACTGGGAACCAAAAGTTGCAAGCAGCACGGGCTATGGTGAGCCCGTAGTTTATTGATGCCGCCGAAGGCGGCTAGTTTATTGTGCACCCCATACTCATCCTGTGAGTGGTAGCGCATAAAGCATTACAGAGGGCATAAAAGGTCTTTATCAGACCTCATCTTAGATTATTACATAAACAATTCCATCTATCCTTCACATCTTTACAATGTGTTACAATGTCACACCTTATAGTTACAGAGAATGTTCTATTTCAAACATTCTTCATACTCCAAGATTGGCCTTACATACGTGGTAAACAAGGTTCTGAAAAGATTCTTTACACAGGTTTCTGCAGGCTTTTCTGGTGTTAGCCAGCTTCGCATACGCCGCTAATGTTATTCTCTTGATGTGGGCTTTAGGAGACAGGTTTGGCGTGATATCAACTCTTAGATCTTTTTCTCTGTCCGTTTCGTGAAGGACACATCATCTTCAATTCGGTATCCAGTGTCTGGCCTCCTATTTCCTCTACCTCGTTTCGTTAAGAACATAAGAACATAACTGCAGAAGGCCTATTGGTCCATACGAGGCAGCTCCTATTTATAACCACCCAATCCCACTCAAATACATGTCCAACTTACGCTTGAAACAATCGAGGGACCCCACCTCCACCACATTACGCGGTAATTGGTTCCACAAATCAACAACCCTGTTACCGAACCAGTATTTACCCAAGTCTTTCCTGAATCTAAACTTATCCAATTTATACCCATTGTTTCTTGTTCTGTCTTGTGTTGATACTTTTAATACCCTATTAATATCCCCTTTGTTATGAATATTCATCCACTTGTAAACCTCTATCATGTCACTCCTAACTCTTCGCCTTTCCAGTAAATACAATTTAAGCTTTGTTAATCTTTCTTCATGTGAAAAGTTTCTAATTTGGGGAATTAACTTTGTCATCCTACGCTGGACACGTTGAAGTGAATTTATATCCATTCTATAGTACGGCGACCAAAACTGAACTGCATAATCTAAATGGGGCCTAACCAGAGCAAGATATAACTGAAGAACAACACCAGGAGTCTTGTTACTAACGCTTCAATTAATAAATCCCAATGTCCAATTTGCCTTATTACGAACATTCATGCATTGATCCTTTGGTTTTAAATTCTTACTAATCATAACTGATCCCTTTCGCAATCTCAACCTGTGTTCCCTGGAATACGACCCCCCGCGAAGAATCGTTTAACAACCAGGTACTCATTTTACTGTTGAGTTAAACAGAGGCTACAGTTAAGGATTTGAGCCCAGTAAATCCTCCCCGGCCAGGATACAAACCCCAGGACAAAGCACTCGCGAAACGCCAGGCAAGCGTCTTAACCACTACACCACGGGGGCTGCTACTTGGACTGAACTTTAGTAGCCATTTGTTGGACCATTCCTTCAGTTTGTTAAGGTCATCTTGTAGCCTCAAACTATCTTCCTCTGTCTTAATCCTCCTCATAATTTTTGCATCATCGGCAAACATTGAGGGAAACGAGTTTATTGTCTTTGGGAAATCATTTACATATATCAGGAACAGTATAGGTCCAAGAACTGCATGATCCCTGAGGGACTCCACTGGTGGCGCCTCGCCACTCCGAGACCTCACCCCTCACAGTGACTCGCTGTTTTCTGTTGCTTAGGTGCTCCCTTATCCAGTGGCGTACCTTCCGTTTCACTCCTGCCTGCATCTCCAGTTTGTGCACTAGTCTCTTATGTGGTACTGTGTCAAGGGCTTTCTCGCAATCCAAAAATATGCAGTCTGCCAAGCCCTCTCTTGCTTGCTTAAGTTTTGTTGCCTGGTCATAGAATTCAATTAATCATGTGAGGCATGATTTACCATCCTTGAACCCATGCTGATGTTGTGATACAAAGTTCTTTCGCACCAGATGTTCCACTAGCCTTTTTCGCACAATCTTCTCCGTCACCTTGCATGGTATGCAAGTTAGCGACACTGGCCTGTAGTTCAGTACCTCCTGTCTATCATCCTTCTTGAATATCGGGACTACATTAGCCGTCTTCCAAATTATTGACAGTTCACCTATTATCAGTGATTTGTTGTACACCATGGAGAGTGGCTGGCACATAGCTTCTGCTCCTTCCTTCAGTATCCAAGGTGAGATTCCATCCAGTCCTATGTAGCCTTTGTCACTTCCAACTCTAGCAGATGCTTCCTCCCCACTGGTAATCACAAAACTCATCTAGTGGTGTTTTGTTAGATATTTCCTCTCTTATCTCTGTGACTTCCCCTTGCTCTACTGTAAAGACCTCCTGAAATTTCTTATTTTCTTTGCACACTTTCTTGTCGTTTGTAGTGAATTTGTCTACTTCTATTCTCAATTTCATTACCTGTTCCTTATTCACTGTTGTTTTTCTCCTGATGTGGCTGTGCAGAAATTTAGGTTGAGTCTTTATCTTGCTTGCTATGTTATTTTCATATTGTCTTTCTGCCTCTCTTCTCGCCCTAACGTGTTTATTCCTGGCGCTCTGGTATCTTTCTTTGCTCACTGGTGTTCTATTTCTATGTAGTAGTGGTCGGTCTCGAGCCCATTGTTGATGTGACGATGTGAATTGTATTTTGTAGCTAGCTCATCAAGATTTAACTTGCTTAGCTAAATGAATTGTGGGGTTCAGCCCATTATGTTCCCTGAGCCCATTATGATGAGCCACTGTAACCCTTTCCACTACCTCCCACAAGATGGGTATGGGGTGCATAATTTACGAACTAAACTAGCGATATGGGGATTTATTAGATGAAAATATTGCTAGTTTGTTATTTACACTTTGTAATCCTTCGTATATAATAGGGTAGCAGCACACTGTTGTGAATTCTTAAGTTTGCTAATAATACACAAATGCTGTAGGTATAACTGCCCGAAACGCTGTGCGTACTAGTGGCTTTACAAGAATGTAATTACTATGCTATGTATCCTCACAATCCCAATGTACCTTCTTGGTACAATGTATATATATATATATATATATATATATATATATATATATATATATATATATATATATATATATATATATATATATATATATATATATATATATATATATATAAATAATATATATATATATATATATATATAAATAAATAAATAATAAACTGTGGGAAGAGTACTGTGTAAGTGGCGGGAGAGTGGAGTAACTGTGCGAGGTTTTGGCGGGAAGGTTGTGTTGTTGTTATTGTATCACATGGTGAGCATGGCGATGGTGCAGTCTTATGACCCGGACCTCCTCCCTGACCTCCTCCCAGTCTACTACAGGAGGCTTTTCCCATACTCTCAATACTACACCTGGCTCACCTATGGACAAGGTCAGCAATGACATCATTAAAGGGTTTCCTCACATGCCGAGCGTGTTTGCTGGTCTTAGACTCGCTCTATGAGTCACTAGAGATAAAAACTGATGTGAATATTGGCAAATAAAATGTCTTTGGGGCCGTGTCCAAATAGCACAGGCCCCATAAGTCATTATCAAATTAACACAGGCATCTCATAGGCCTGTATTAAATTAGTATAGGTATTTCGTAGGTCTATATCAAATTAGTACAGGCATTTCGTGGCCTGTATCAAATTAGCTCAGGCATCTCATAGGTCCATATAAATTTTCTGAACACCTATATTATAATAATATGAAATTTTATAAGTAGTTGAGCACCCCATAGTTCTAACAATGAAGTGCAGTGCCCTATGAGTCTATCCAAACAGTGGCTTATGTGCCTATATCCAAATAAATCATACTAGGGCTAGTTTTAATAGGTCGGCACCCCATGCATTTGCCTCCATGTGGGGAACAGAAAAAGCATACCCAAGACATTTCGAAAAAGCTTGTTGCTGTTGTGCTGTTTGCTATAACTGTTGTAGTTATAACTATGTAGTTATAAGTTATAGCTATGTATAACTATAGTTATAACTATAACTGTATAACTCTGCCCGAAACGCTGCGCGTACTAGTGGCTTTACAAGACTGTAATTACCATATTATGAATCCTCACATTCCCAATGTACATTCTTGTATATGCATAAATAAATAAAATAAATAAACTATAACTGCTTGCTATAACTTAGGTTAGAATATGGTAGTTTAGGCTGGGTTGTATTAGGTTAAGTTTGTTTGGGTTAAATCTGTAGACTTTTACAACTGTCCTGTACATGTCTTCTGCATTCACACACAGGCCTATCAAGGCTGCCTTCTCCCTTTTCCTAATGTTTTTTCTCAGCAGTCCCTTCTAGGCTACTGGCCAGTCATACTGGTAGTTGGTAAATGTATCAGTTCAGTTCAATCATCAGCACTATAAATAACAACAAAAATTGCATACTTACCTAGCACTAATTATACAGTAGCATTCAATTTTCCCTGAAATAAAATCATGCTATTCCTTTCCACTAAAAAACTTCACCTGATATATTCCAGTACCTATCTATGTTGTAACCTTCAGTTAATACGGGGTGTAAAATTGAGAACTAATATACAGTATTTGTATAATGAGAATCCTGAAAATAGGGAGCCAGATAATGGAGGGAGTCCACTGTAATATTTACAGTACAGTACTACTAAAAGTCTGAGAATAGTATAAATACTGTACTGAAAGATAGTCTGCTAGAAATTGCTTCAGTACAGTATTTGGAATTGAAAATGTAAATATGGATTAACTTTGATTATGAAGAGGTGAGCCTATAGGAGTTCTGTGTTATTCGGAAGTACGGTATTTGTTATATGGAGATGCAGATTAAAGAGGTTTCACTGTATAATATTTTTTATCAAACTACTTCTTTAAGGGGTATGTGATAGCTTGTTTAATTAATTTTTGTATACAGTACAATACACATTGTCTTTCTTCAGGAATTCTGGTCCAGGCATACACGATCTCATTGACCAGAGTTGTTCTGTTTACCAGTGCAACTGAACCCATTCATTTTTGTCAGAAGCAGATCATTCCACTGGATCTGAAAATCTGTTGAACCAGATTTTAAGACTCCACTGTATTGGTGTTCGAGAAGATTTTGTGGCTAGGAAAGCAATTGTTCATAAATTGGGTTGAGTGGTGTTTGTTTGACCCTTCTAACTGTTGTAGCAGAACCTTTAAAATGAGTCTTAGATGATATCTTGATTGTATTTCAACTGTTCCAACAAAATAAATTTCTCATTTTCTTTCAGCTCCTAAGAACTACTTTCAAAAACGTGAATTCTCCTTCACCCTTGCTGATGATATATATCTGCGCTACCAGTCATTTAAAGATGAAGAAGACATGGAGAAGGAGATTAAGAAGCACTGTCCCCATAAGATTGATATTGGAGCAGTCTACTCGTTCAGGTATGATATTGATTTGTGTATCATAGTTGAACAATAATTATATAACCATTTAAATACACCATGATAGTTATATAATGATCCAGACTATCATGTATTATAATGTTAAAAATTAGTCAGTCGAGGCTCTGGAATCCAGGTATCAAATGTCAAGAAATTCCCCCAAAATTTGATATTTTGTTAAGTCTGGTCAAATCTGAAAAATATATTAAGATGGATTGAAAAATCATATCTGGTAGCCATTGAGGTTGTGGTTATATGTACATTGCACGATGTGGTTATACTTTTACAAGACTAACCAGCATATATACATTTTCAGCTTATAATTTGAAAGGTTCTACATATTTTAGAAAAATAAAGTGTAGTTTGCCATTAGACCAGTAAGGCAGATATTGGCACGCTTTATATCACAAAATCGGGATAATGAGATGACAGTTTAAAGAACTAATATAAACTAATTACAGTATTCCATGAAGTTATACAAAATTTTTCACAGCCCTAGGCATTCTCCATTAACAAATTCTAGGGCTATCCCAGATTAAAATCACTCCAAACACATAGTTCATACAACATAAATCCCTCCTGTCCTCTTCCTCCAAAAAGTAAGATCTTCCTGTAAACACTGATTGGTAAGCACCACTTGCATCCTGCATTATTTGTAACCCTTGCACTACTTACTACCATTGCTTTGTTATACTTTAATACTTTTTCTGTGGGGAGCCCGCATGGCTCCTTTTCCCTGGAGCTATTGGGCTCCAGACTATCTGAGCAACACACCGGTGGAGTGTGACATTTGCTTGTTTCCCTGGGATCGGAGGGAGTTCTGCCTCTCTTTTCAGTTTTTAGTTGTAATTTTTCTTTCCATGTGTGGTTTGTTTTGTTATGCTTACCTTTCTGGGTGCCTAACCCCGGTCGATGGCAGATAAGGAAAACCCCCAACCACAAGGGTGTTTTCCAGGGGTCATTGTTCCCTACACCTCTGAGAGGGCCAGGTTCTGGCTCGTGGTCCCCAGTAGGCTGAACTATATAGACTAATGCCCCAGTCTAATGTATTGCATATTAGCCCGATAGCTCCAGGGCTAACCCAGAAAATGGCATTTCATTACATTAACACTGGTTTTTGATTGACTAAGATCAAAACATACAGTACTGTATAATTTTTTATTTGTTTTTAAATGTACCTGTACAGTACTTGCTAATTTCAGTACAGTATTATAATAAATTTTCACGATTTCAGACCCAAGGACCATCGCACAGTCTCAGTATTTACACCCCAAGAGAAGGAACTTGTGTTTGATATTGACATGACCGATTATGATGAGGTAAGTCACAATAAAACAGTCAAAGCAATAACATTCCTTCCCCCCCACTCCCCCCTAATCTTTTGTTATTACTGGTCTTTTGTTTGTTCAGAGCCAGTGTGTGTTGTGATTTTGGTAGTGTTACTGAAAGGTGTTTGATTATGCTTCAGTTTGTTGAAGCATACGTAATAGGTTGACAATAGTTTTAATATATTGCCATTGTCTTCAGTATGCAACCAAAATATGAGAAAGTGTAGTACAGTATTGCCTAATGCGAGGGTGACTGTTAGTGATGAAACCTGCTTCTCCCTCCCACCCTCTATCATCACTCAACTTATTGCCACAATATTTATGTTCATATAAGTGAAAAAGCCCTAATCTGGTCCCTAATCATCAAAACAACCTAAAGAAACAAGGAAAATAGAGTTTGAAATCTGTGAAAAAATCCGCCCAAAAAAATTCAAAGTCCCAAGTTCTGAGAGTTGTGACTGAATTATTTGTTGACCAATTTAATTCTGGCTTCACATAGTGAGGGACGAGTATGCGTTCTCCAGGATGCAAAGGTTAAAACAAATTCAAATAATAAACAAAGGAGGAATAAAAACCTAAAATCCTAAAAGAAAAAAAAAAAAAAAATTATTTTGGATATTGTTGAAAGTAACTGATAATAACATTGGGCAATGTATTTATATAATAACAAAATAGAGCATAACATAATTACTCATTATTATTTGTGTTATTATGTATTACTCACCAATGCTATAAAGGCACCAGCTGTATATCTACTTTGTGGACACGTCTTACTACTATTCTTCTTCTTTGTGCGGTGGACAGGTGCTTGCATCTCTCTATTATTGTATTATCCATCAGTTCCAGTTAATAGGAGTTGTTCTCTTTATAAACAAAACATTATTTTTTTTTAAATATTCATGTAAAATTAATTTCTGAAAATATTTTGATGAAAGTTTCACAAAGCTGAAGCCAATAAGTTGGAGATTTGTTTAACATTTGTAAGAAATTTTTACATAATATGAATATTTTTCGAATTACACCCCATTCAATGTCACACACATGACGCTTTGCGCAGTTTGAGAGTTAATACTGCAACAATTAAATTTATAACATAGCATAGTTATGCCTTCTGTGTGTAAAAGTTGAGGGTGAAATTATGGTGAGAGACCACTTATATTCTTTAGGTGATGTATCAGAAAGTATTGTAACTACAGGCTATATTGTTGTCATTTTATTAATTAACTACTCTTTTTTTCCTCCTAACTATGGACATTTCCAAAATGCTAATCATTTTATTCGTATTCAATTTGAACACTAAGAAAATTTGTATGGCTGAAGACAAGTGTTACAGTAAACAATCCTTTGTGATTTGCTTTTTTTTTATAAATATACTGTGTGTGTGTGTGTATATATATATATATATATATATATATATATATATATATATATATATATATATATATATATATATATATATATATATATTATATATACAGTATATATATAATATAATATTTATTTATATTTCACCTTAACCAACCCTCCACAATATGAGGGTTCACTGTACAGCATTTGAGAGAAACACACTCCACAGGTACGGACTTGTTGCTCTGGAGCAGAAATTTGTCACAAGTGTTGGAAGTTCATGACTATTGCTGTCAAGATCTTGGATTCTGCTCTGAGACGTAAGTTATTCACTTGCGATGAATTAATTTATTATTTTGAATTGTGTAATTTTAAATATGAGTTCTATATATTGTTAATTACTTTTGCATATCCTCTGCTATTTATATAAACATATTTCACTCTTCTTAATAAACTCCCGTTGATACCTCCCACAATGCTTCACAATCTATCCAGTCATATTCTTTAAATATTCTTAAATTAATTAAGGCAGCATACAACTTTCATCTCTTTGTTGGTAGAAACTTTTCGAGACCTATTCTCACATTAAACATTTGATCTGTGCAATCTTTTTCCATTTTTAAACTAGGCAGTTCTTCCCCTATCCTACATTCTGCTATCTCTGTTACTCTTCCTTGAGTCTGCAACCTTCCATTCACTTTTCTTATGATAGTAGGTAAGTTCATTTCCCTATAGTTTTCAGTCTTCTCTACTAACCTTTAATCCAATCATTTGGGAACTCCCATTCCTGCCACACCATGTACATTACATTTAACATTATGTGGTCTGTCTTTGCTGCCACTCATTGCCCTGGTTACTCAGCTGGCAGATATACAAAACACATGCAGTACACAACCTCATGCAATTTCCCAATATGTATTTTTAACTTGTACATCAACATACATATTCCCCAGTATAATAACTTTCCTACCATCTTTTAGCTTCTTTACACATTCAGTTTATTCAATAATACTTTCATCTCATTCTTTCCTTTAACATTCTCTTTACACACTGGATTATATACACGTATAAATACATATCCCATATTTTCACCATTCTTCCACTTATCGTTCCCAATAAAATGTGTTGCTCATATCTAACACATTACCATTGCTTTTACCTAATTTACTTTCTTTCTCTATTGCCTAAAACATTTGTCATTTGATTTAAATGTGTGAACTATAGAGTCTCAATTCATCATTCATTTCCTTTCAAAGTCACCTTCATCACAGTCTCCTGAGAGAGAGAGACGAGGCATGGATTGCCAGGCTTCCCAACAAAGCAGCATGATTTTCTGTTACCCTGAGAATCTGATTGTCAACACACACTAAAAGAAAGGGTTTTGTCCATGCTGAAAAGAAAAACAAATGCAAATTAAAAGAAAATTAAAAATTAATAAAACAAAACTAAAATAAAACTCCTTGAAATACCAAGAAACCTTCATTCTTTTTTAATTCCACAATAATTTGTGTAATAATTATTTCACCATAAGGCATGGTAAGACTTCAATACTTTATTAAATATATTCCACATGGATGTGCTAACAAAATCTTGTGAAAAACATTTCTCCTCCCATTGCAAGTGTATTAGCTTTGCCAGAGGCAATTTCAAAACCTGGGTTACACAACAAATATTTGTACAGTGGAAGTTAGAGACCTTAACTGAGCCATACCATATCTTTTGCTATGATATCCCAGGTCATGTTCGCTCTAACTAACTAGGGATTTAGTTATCTGGAGTATACTGAACTCTCAGTTTATGCTAGGAAATATACTTTTGTGGTTAAATATTACCTATTCTCACCCACCACATACAATCAAAATTACTCTTGTTTTTGTATAGTCTCATCCACTGCATCAATCCATCATAGTAAGAAATGAAATATAGTAAATGAAAACAGTTAAGGAACATGAACACTACTTAGCAGTGCAGCCAGGTAAATGCCATCTTGAGTTTCTTGATGGGTTTACCATGGAATAGGTGAGCTTATGCAGGACAATTGGTAATTATTATTGTGAAAGAATTTGCTGTTTGTATGGAATGATGCAGGTGATACTTGCCTTATTGCACCACACAGTTGGGTCTCTACACATCTTTGACACCATGATCAAAATTGTGTAAAACATTTTCGTGCATGAATGAGCTTACATAAACTACTCTTTAGCTAATGGGAGATGTTGTAATGAATACATACAAATTAACTTTACATCTAATATTGATCACTATTAACAGAGGATTTTGGGTACCAGCACATCCTGTGGGTGTACTCTGGTCGTCGTGGCATACATTGTTGGGTGTGTGATGAAAGTGCCCGCACATTGTCACAGTCAGCTAGATCAGCTTTAGCTGAATACCTTCAATTGATTCGTGGAGGTGAAAATATGACAAAGAAAGTTAACATCTCTCAAAAGCTTCATCCTTCTCTCAAGTAAGTTCTTAAGGAACACTGGATTAAAACTTTTGTTCTTTGTTACACATCTGCAGTGTTCATTATTGTATTTTCATGTTAATTTTGCATAACTTTATGATAAAAAATACTTATATTATGATGTGCAAGTTTGTATCCTTAGGAAGTAATGAACAAATTTGTTAAATTTACAGACGCGCTGAAGGAATTGCCAAGAAGTACTTTAATGATCTGATTTTAGAGGATCAAGATCTGTTAGGCACTCCTGAGCTTTGGAGTAAAATTCTTTCCCTGATTCCTGACCAAACATTACGCGAGTCTTTAGAGAAGACTATGCCACAATGCAGCAACTCAAAACAGCGATGGAACACTATCCAAACAGAGATTACCAGAGCACTTAATAAGGTATTCAACAAATATTTTCAAATAATATTCTTTTAACATATCTCCTAGGGTTAGAGGGAAATACCACAGTCTGCTTCAATTAGGTGATCATGATATGATTGGTTAGTAGTAGAGTCCTGGTAGTACAGTCAGGGTCATTCTCGACTCACAACTGAGAATTCCGAGAACATGAACACTACTTCCCATCTTCAAGCAGTTCTTGTGATGCCAAATATTGCATTTAAAAGCTTTTTGTTTTGTAAGAATGCACTTTCTAGTTGTACCAATTGTCTCCATAGGGACAGTTTGACCTTACGAGCATAAGTACAGTACAGGCATACCTCAGTTTAAGAGTTTAATTGGTTCCTGGAGACGCCTCGTATTCCGAAAACTCGCATTCCGAAGCTAATTTCCCCATAAGAAATAAAGGGAAATGAATTAATCCGTTCCTGACTACCCCCAAACCCCCACATCAAACTAAATTTTTATACCTAATTCATCTAAATAAACCTACAAAACTATGTTCAAGTTATTACTTACCTTGCTGTTGAATGCTGTAGGCGTATGGAAGATGGTGAGGAGGTGGGAGGAAGAGAGGAGTTACTGTTTGGAAGGGGAGTCCCCTTCCATTATAACATCAGGCAGTGAGGACTTCACTGGTATGCACACTCTGCCACATTTTGCCTGCATACCACTAGGACTTGCTTGTTTTACTAAGAATTTGTCTAATGACACTTGTTTTTCCCTACATTTTAGCACTTGTCTGTAGTAAGAAATCACATTATCATTTAAAAGGTCAATGCAACGGCCTGCTACAGCTTTATCTGGGTGAGTTTTTTCAACAAAACTTTGCAGTTCTTCCCATACTTCACACATTTTCTTAATCAAGAAGGGACATCCTCTACTGCCTCTACTCACAGCTATTTTCTTAGGTTGAACCTTACCAATGGCTTTCTTGAGACCCATGGCAAGATATATAATGACAACTTTTATGCTCAAATGGCCAAAAAAACGATAAAAAACTGTAAATCCTTGTGAAGAATTCAGGTGGGATAGTCACTGGACACGAGACACTGGTAAACTGAGGCGCGATCGCCATGCCACCACGTGCCAGTCGGCCTGTACACGTATCAACAAACTCGCGTCCCGAGGTAACCCTCGCCTTCCGAGACATATTTTTGGAGTAAATCCTGCTCGTCTTCCGAAAAACTCGCATACAGGGACACTTGCATTCCGAGGTACCACTGTACAGTACAAAACCTGTGACCTAGTACAGTAGTTTATATTTGCCGTACCATTGTAGAATGTCACCCTGCCCTAACTGCACAATATCTTAACTGGGGATTAGAATTTTGCTGAGTATACTGCTCAGAAAAGTGTCTTGTACATACACTCAAAACTTTTTTTTTTTTATCTAGAAATAATGGCATTGGAAAACCTTTTTATTACAATCAAGATATATTTATTTTTATATTCCCTTTTTAGGCTGACCACAAAAAGGGTTTTCGACCACACCTTCTGACAGAGATCATCCTTCAGCTTGTTTATCCAAGATTGGACATACATGTTACAAAGGGTCTTAACCACTTACTGAAGTCACCATTCTGTGTCCACCCAAAGACTGGACGTGTGTGTGTTTGCTTTGACCCGCAGAAAGCTGAACAGTTCGATCCGATGGCTGTTCCAAACTTAAGGTTAGTTGTGTATACACGGCACGGCTTTTTTTTTTTTTTAACAAGTGGGTTGCTTAAGTTCTTATAAAAATCTTCAGATATTCCATTTTAAGCACTTCATAATCATACAGCATAATTTTTTTTTATTTGCAGTCAATTAGTAGAAGAGATCAACAGTTTTGATGCTGGAAAGACAGATGAGGAACGTGGAGCTGTGGCAGAATATAAAAAAACATCAATGAAAGAATCTATGGCTGTGTTTGAATCCTTCCTGTCTGCTTTGGCAAAGGAAAATGCTTCCCGGCGTAGAGATGAAAATGGTAAGTCAATAACACACGTAGATTATATTATTACACAAAATGTAAGAAATATCTCAATCATTCATACAGATTCTCATTTCATCTGATCTGGTTTGTAGGAGAACAACAACAACCTGGAGAAAAATAAGAGAGCAATGTAAGAAAAGTAGGTTACATATTCTGAAAGGCACTCGCTCATTGGGAGAAGTTTATTAACAGAACAGGAGATGTGTATAGCAAAGTTGGTCCTGGGTTCATTTCTTGGGCATGTTTTCTTACACCTGATGCCGCTGTTCACCTAGTCGTAAATTGGTACAACGAAAGGTCAGTCATTTCCAAGAAGACTTCAATAAACCTAACAGGCTTCCTGTACCCAACAACGGGAAACCAAATATAAATGATTCCCATAACTTAGGTTTCAATATAGCATTTTGTATACAACGTGCTGTTTTCATATTGACCACAATTACAGTATTTATGATTTTTTAACTAACTTTAACTTTTATATGCGATGAAGGATCCTTTAGTATAAGCATTTTTGTTAACTTTGCTTTTTTATACCATAGTTGCATGGACAAGCCTAAATACAAATACTTGTTGCCTTCAGCTGATTTACTGTTCAGTTTTTGTCATCCAGTTTGTAACTTTTTTTTTTTTTTTCAGAAATGAAGTTGGACTTTTAGTACTGGTTGCAAAGGAATGGAGAATAACAAGAAAAACACATTGTCTATAGCAGGAACCTCAGTTTATTTAATATTTCATTCATGCACCTTTTGCAGGAATGACATGAAATTACACTTTTATACAGAGAAAATGTGTTTTCTTTTAGAGGTTAAATAATTTCCCTATTGGAACCTTTCCTTGGCCTCTACTTACCTGTCCTCTCCATTAGACTGAGAGCTTGTTTTTTTTGTTTTCTTTGTCATCACTTCTATGTTTATCAGCCTTAATCTTGTCTTTACTTATGAGCATTCTTGACCCTAGGGAAGCATAAATCAGAGTCGCCTCCCAAGCCCTTCACTTGGGGCCTTGAAGGTACTGTACCTACTGGTAGTTCAGTTATTCCTCCTAACATTTTGGTGCTCTTTGAAGTTATGAAGTTTCTTCTGTCACTTCTTCCTCATGCTTGTGCTACTTTTCTGGTAGAGCCCCCAGCGGCTCTCTGAAGCTATATTGCTGAGATTGCTGCACGCTAATGGGTCACATCAATTGCAAAAGTTCGTTTTGCCTGCCGGAGACCAGAGCCACAGTGTGCTCCCCTCCCCCCTTCCTCCTCCTCCTCCTCAGAGAGCCACATTGAGTAATAATTCACCACCAATTCTGCCAAACAATTCATACAGAACAAGACATTCACTCAAACTAGCTCAAAACTAACCAGCAGGGTCTAGTCTTGGGGCCATGATGTTTGCAAATACTCAGCTTTAGCTGCAGTCTTCTCCAACATGATCTGGGCTGATATTCAGATTTTGGGCGTTGTAACAGGGTTCTTGTGGCCCTGTATTTAGTCAGTGTTCCTGGTCCCAGTTGGTTGTGTATTGGTTTGAGCTGTCTCCCCCAGCCTGGGGTCTCTTCTTCATCCTAGTGCCTGCTGCTTTCCTTCCTTCCTTGGTCCCATTTTTTGTTCTGTGTGGTTAGCTTGAGGATGCCACTGAGGGGCTCCCACAGGAACCCAGCGTTAAATGTAACGAAATGCCTTTTTCTGGTAAACCCCAGTGGCTCCCAGATTCCTTCCCTTCCCTCCAGTTCCTCAGCTCCAGAGCTGACCCTGGGAAGCCAGCTGCAGGCCTCCAGATGGTGGCAGTCAGCACTAACGAGTTTCCAACTACTGTAGTTTGAGTAAATGTCTTGTTCTGTGTTTGCAGACTTACTTAGCAGTTTTTAGGCTTCATTTTATGTGAACCCTCCAATTGTCAGTATAAATTCACTGACTTTCTGGATGCTTTCCCAAAGGGGTGGAGAATTGTCACTTGCTCCCTGTGGCTCTGTGAGAGGTCCCCATTCTGGCTCTGGTCCTGGTAGACCAGACAGAACTTGTGCAAATGATGTGACCCATTAGCATGGAGCAATCTCAACGAGACAGCTTCAGGGTGCCACGGAAGCTCTACCAGAAAGAGGCATTTCATTACATTCAATGCTGGGTTTTTACACCACCCTCATTGCAATAAAGTATTTTCTTCTTGGGAAAATTTTGGGGAATCCATGTGACAATTATTAATTATGCTACCCAATGACTGTCACAGGTAAGGGCAGCTTGACCCTACACATCATCTATCACTTTTTATACTGGATTATTTATTTTTATAAAGTATAGTATGTAAATATTATTACACGACACATGAATGAGAGAATAACAAAATTCCATGTTTTCATACTGATTGTAGTCAGGCTTTGTAACATAAGAAATTATGATTATATATATATATATATATATATATAATATAATATAATATAAAATCCATTGTAATTTTTTTAAATCTAATGAAAATCACTGCCGATTAGGCAAATTGGTTCTTGCATACTAGGCAGAGTAGTGCGTTCTTGCTATTAGGTATGACGTGTGTGTGTGTGTGTAATTACGTGAGTGTAGTTACAGCATGAGAGCTACGTTTGTGATGTCCCGTCTTTCCAGTACTCTTTGTCGTATAATGCTTTGAAACTACTGATGGTTTTGGCCTCCACCACCTTCCTCATTTAACTTGTTCCAGCCGTCTACTTTTCTTTCTGTTTGAAAGAAAATTTTCTAATGTTTTTTCGGCACCTTTGTTTCCATAGTTTGAATCTGTGTCCTTTTGCTCGTGAAATTGCTAGTTTCAGGAATTCCTTTTTGTCAATTTGGTTGATTCCTGTTAGTATTTTGTAAGTGGTGATCATATCACCTCTTTTTCTTCTATCTTCTAGTTTTGGCATGTTTAACGCCTCTAGTTTCTCCTCGTAACTCATGTTTTTCAATTCCGGAAGGCATTTTGTAGCATGCCGCTGCACCTTTTCCAGTTTCTTTGTGCTTCTTGAGGCTTGGGCACCATACAACTGCTGCATATTCCAATTTTGTGCGTGTGTATACGCACATCACACTATATTAGTTGGTAGCAGTAGTCATGTTATGACAGCTCACTGCAGATGCTGAGTCACAATAACGTGGCTGAAGATACGATGACCAAACCACACATAAGATGAAGAAGTGACTACATTTCGGTCCAGGACAGACCGAAACGTCATCGTTTCTTCATATTCTGTGTGGTTTGGTCATGACAGCTCACTAATACAGTACATATAGCTATAACAGTCTTGAATCCAAAATGTTTTGGAGTGGACCTCATAAGAGTAAGCTACTAAGTATGTGCCATCCACTCCAAATCCACTGGCTCTCCTTGCAAGTTATTTTTCTTCATTTCTAAAATTTACTGTATAAGCTTTATACAGGGTACAGGTATCTGTTTGTGAACGTGGGTCTTAATGTTTCCAACAGTCTGGCATGCTCATAATAGATAATTACAAAGGATCTGTATGCTTATTTCTTTGGTAGATAATAGACTTGCAACCATTTATGATGTCCAGTACTGATGCTTTATGTTGTATGACAACATACAAGTAGCTTAAAAGTGTTATGGTCATACTACATCTCTGCATGCAAGAACTACAAGGCTCTATGATATAAAATATGTGAGGAAGTATTCTGCTCTGGCATTATTATAATATACACGAGAAGCTCGAGCTCTGTAAATTAACTTGGTGGCCCAAATCTTGGTACGTCCTCTGCACCACCTTGTTAGGTCCCAGTTGGATTATGCAGTTCAGTTTTGGGCACCATACTATAGAATATAAATAAATTCACCTGAACATGTACAGATAAAGAATGGAAAATTTAATCCCACATGCTTCATGCTCCCCCCCCTTCCCCTTTGAGTACAACACTGTGTGCTTGTATGGCCAGCTTAAGGCTTCTCGCAACTGGGCTAAACTTTGATTCCACACCTACAAGCACAGCAGAGGTGAGGTGCCACTGTTGAAAATGCACACCATTCTCAGCTTAAGGTACTGCCCGGTGCAGGCCATCCAACATTTTGTTACGATGTGCAAGCCCCACTTCATATACAAGGATGCAAACTCATGCGCATTGACTTTACACGAGCCTTGGACAACGCTCCCTCCCCATTCCTTTTGGGAGGATTGGGAGGACAACCCAACTGAGGTGAGATAACCACATCGAGGTCAATATAAAAACTGTGGGGTGGTGGACGAGTGGCACTTTCCACGGTTATCTACATCAAAGTGCCCTTACTCTCCTGCCCTCTGGGCGGGGCCACCAACTAGCCCTGACTGCCCTGCAGGTTGGGGGCTTCTTGCCAGGGCCTCTTGGCATTGGGGTGGGGTGCTATTCTGGATCCCCGACTCTGCAGCACACACACCATTTTCTCTTTAGCTTTGTTGTATATTGTCATTCAAAGCACTCACGTTAAGCATTCCTAGCTCTAGCATGCTCCCTCACTTAATGTGGAGGGGAAGTACTATATTAGATTTATGTATTTGTTCATCTTGGTGCCCATTGCACAAGCCCCTGGCCATGCACGCTAGTAGCTGCTGGCATCTTATTCCTATAGTGCCCTGTTTCTCAGTTGCTGTTCACTGTGCCTTCCCGAATGCTTGGGCCATGCATATACCTTTTGTTAGTAGCCCAAGATGTTTGTTAACTATACTGCCATGACGCCTGGCCCATGCTACTCATTCACGTTACTACATATACAGGGGACAATCTGGCCTCTGTACCTGTTACCTAGGCATTATATAGGAACTTCTTACAGTAACTTTTAATCATCTCATAATTCATTATGCTTATTCCTGTGGCACAATTATTTTATTCATCACATACTTTTAACAGCTGCTACTACACATTTCTATCATTAGGCTTATTACCAGCAAGAGAGAATTACTGTTAATTCACTTAATCTTTTTTTGTGGTTCATTAATTATACATCTGTTATATTATCATTTAGTGTATAGTTAATTTACTTTATATTTTACTTGTAATTAAAAAATTTATCCTGTGTCTTTGTTTCAATCAGCCTACCAAAAAATACCTTAAGGGCAATGCTATGTTTTTGCTACTCTTTCTGTTGTCACCATCTTGAGAATTCTTCATAAAACAACCAAATAGTTTTCAGCCACTTTCCCAGCATGATTATCATACTGTACTGTATTTACAATTCTCCTTCAGCCAGCATGCCTCCTCTGTACTTTCTCTCCCCAAATACATACATTGCTGTACCAGTCTTCTAGCAGTTTAAACCCTGACACCCAACCAACGCCAGTTTCTAATGAAGATGCCTAAAGTAACTTTATTTTGAACATTTCAGTACACATTTCCAGTCTCTTGCTATTTTTACTGATGGCTCTAAATCGATGACTGGTGTCAAATTTGGTAGTTTTTCCATATGCAGTATAAAGTATGTGACCTTTCCTTGGAATGAAGTGTTTTTACTGCTGAAATACTATGTGTAATTTTATATGCTAGTAAGAAGTTATTACTAAAATACATGTAATTTTCATTGTTGTAGATTACAAGTCCCTTACTGGTTATCAGATCTATTAATTCCTCAACTCCGTGCTTATAGAAATTGAGTACTGTACTTTATTTGATGCACTGTATTTTATTTTTTAGTCAATGCAAACAAAGGGTTTTACTGGGTACCTTGTCATATTGGTATTGACCTAAAATAGTCTACCTCCTCCTCTGGGACCCTAGTTTTCTCAGACTTGCCTTATTTATGCAATAGAAATAAAAATAGGTAAGTATATATCCAATAATATACTCCGTACTAATGAACATGACATGGCCGCTGTATCATCAAAATATGAAATTTTGTTTCGCCACTGGTATACGAATTGCCTTGTTCTGTACATTCACAGAATTTCAAAACAGCCATATATTGTTTCTTACCAATCTTCTTAAATCAATTGTTACACTACACTTGCATCTTTCTACTCTTCTCTCAGCATCTTGAGAAATATTTAAGTACCATGCTTTTTCCTGTGGCTTTGTGTTAGCCATGCTGGCCTAGTGCTTTTGATAATTACTTAAATGTACTGAACTACAGCAGTGCTGTATTTATTTGAGGTTGTATATATTTTTTATCATGTTTTTCTATTATGAACACTAATGTTATATTTATAAAAATATAACAAAACAATACTTTGATAAAAAAAATGCAATGAAAAGCTGCCTTTTAATGTATTTCTTAATACAAAATAAGCAATTCCTCATTTAACTTAATCACTACAATTCTTAAAGCTCCATTAAAAACTATTTCACAAGCATAAATTTCATGAGGTATGAGTATCATGCCTTGTACATAATTAATATACTGTATCTTAAACACCCAAATACCCCTTTACAGCAAGGCATTAATTAAAAAAACAAAATATATCAGGGATTTAAAAATAAAATGGTGAATAAATTATAATATATACAGTATTGTATAATGAGTGTGTAACCTTTGGTGAAATAACTTGGCACAAAATGGCCATACGTGTTTCTCTGTGCGAGTCAACCTCCAGAAATGTGCAAAGTATCAAAAACATTTACAGAGTTTCCTAAATATAAATATAGTTTAAACTATAGTACATTGAAAAATGTTTCATAAGCAAATCTACATGTTTGAGTTAGTCAGGTGTGCTAACAATCATGTTAATAAACTTTTCTAACTGCTCAAACTTTGACAATTTATTTAATCATGCAAGGCTGTGTGCAACTTTTGATTACGTCAGTAATTATCTAAAATTTTATCTAATTATAGTCATCATTACTTTTTTGTTACATTAATGATCTTTCACTTCAAGAGTTTAAACAGTAAATTATCCAAGCAAGAAACTGGAAAGCACTACAACTTGCTGCAAAAAGCACAGCAACTTTTCAAGAAAAATGGAGCAGCTTCCTAAGCAATTGTGATTAATAACTATACATTTTAAATGTGCCATATACAGCAGTAAATAGGTGCCTGGAGTTAGGCATCTGTTGTGAGTAGCATCCTGGAGGAGGAAGATCTAGATATGTCCAACTGGCTTCCTATACCATACAATGGGGAACCAAATAACCTAATGTGATAGAAGCTGTCCAAAATAATGTAGCTAACTGGGAGATAAATGCTAGAAACAGAGCAACTGATGGTGTTTCTGTTCTGCACAACATTGAAGTGCACCATATCAGAGATTGGGCAGTTTACTTTACTTTTTCCAAAGATACATAAACTTGAATTACATACAGCATTTTTAAGCCTATATGCATATCTCTATCAACAAGTTTAGATCAGGGTTCATAATTCTAACAACTCTTGTATTCCTTGATATTGAATGCTTTAGCAATCACTAAAATAGTAACATGTAAAATTTAAACATACAACCTATTTCCAGGCAAAGCACTATTACGGCGAGTTGCCCCTTTCCTAATACTGTACAGTATACTCCTGCCAGCTACCACATTGTCCTAGACTTTCTGGATTAGATTATGTTGTATGTTGGATCACATTGGTTAGGGGATTAGTAATAGGGTAACTCCTATAACATCCTGTAACCCTTGAACAATTAACTCAACTTAATTTACACACACTTAGGAAAGTGTGACTTTCTGCATTGAGCAAGTATTGGGCATATGATAGTTGATTATCTAAAATACAAAGTTATATTTGTAGTTTTAGTACTATATGTGCATGTAATAAACAAAGCCTATTTACTGTATAGAAACAATGATATACAAATGATCCACAAACCATTCCAGACAGTTGCTGGGATGTTGATCGAAAATAATTTTGATATTGTACAGTAGTACAATTCAGTTATTACTTTGAGTGCATGGGACACATTACCCAGCATGTGGCACTTCCCAGTCTTGCCTAGATGATTTGCTGTTAAACTGTCTATGTATATTATAAAGTTCATTTATTTACATTCATTCAAAATGTATACAACACTGGTGGGTAGGAATTATGAGTTAAAATTTTTAAAATTTAAATGCCAATAGTCACTGACACAATCAAAACTTGTAGAACTAATTTGTTGAAATAATTTTAATGATGATAGTTTAAAGTTCATTAATTAAAACATAAAACAAGCCATTAATGGCAAATATATTTATATTTCTCATGAGCAAATATAAATGCACATTTCTTTAAAATACACTGTACATGTTTGAATTGGTCACACAAGTGCAAGTGGGTGAAATAGGGTAAAAAGAATTTACCAAAATATTTGTCATCAATGATTTGTTTTGTTTTAAAGAACTTTAAATTACATGTACTACCATTAACCCTGCAATGTTTGGTTATGTCAGAGCCCAGTGGAATTTAATTTTTTTTTTTATTTTAACCCAAAAATTGGTAGCTATCAGTGTTTTATAGTTATACTACATGCATTGATTATTATAAAATTAAGAAAATATGGTGAGACAACTAAAAAAAATATATATATAATTTCTGGAGGTTGACACTTCTAACTGTAATGAAAAAGAATTGATTTTAACATAAGCGCAAGGAGTCCATCATGTGGGAAGTTTGCCACATTTACTGTGAGTTCTCATCGCCTATATTCTGAGCTATTCATCACTTTGGGTAAGGGGCTATCATACAGTACCAGACATGACCGTGTCATATGCTGTTTGTCCAGTTTAAGATATTATCATATACCCCACAGTAGAACATGCAATATGTTGTATGTAACCATTGTATAGTAAGCAATGAGGCATTGTTTACATACCACACCAGATGTGAAAAGCTAGTCATAAACTATGGGAATTATTTAAAGCTGTGAAATACATGCTTATAATTGCTTCATATTATCTCAGTATGGCCAGGAACTTATCCTCACCCCAACACACACACACACACACACATACACACACAAAGTTGCCTGTAACACCACACCTCACACCAGTTCAATACAAGTATCATGGCACTAACTATAGGCCATATAGTTAGCAATAGTAAATATTGGTTATATTATAAACTCAGTGAGGCACTGATTTGTAGCATTGTTGAAGAGGACACATTTCATGATCCAGTTACAATTTTAATGGGCAATGAAGCCTGTGTCTTTGTGTTTTAAATTGTGCCTGAGCAGCTTTTCTTCTTTATTACAAACACTTGTTAACATTGATACACATAATTTACCATAACAATGGTTTTTGTCTTTTATTCCTCTTTCTCTTTTGTTGATTCGTTACTATTTATTTCTTCTACTTTCAAGTGCTTTGCAAATTCCTCTTGCTGACGCTTTTTCCATTCAGATTTCACTGGGTTGCACTTTAAAAATCCATCCCATGATAAGTCAATCATACCTCCTTGATGGGCAATCTTTGCTTTGACTCTGTAAAGAAGAGGTAATGTTAAATACATAATCACTTTTGCCAGTTGTTAAAACAGATAATTGGGTTGATAAATCGAATGATGGCTAATTGATTAAATATGAGTACAGAACTAAACTTTTATGAAGGAGGTTCGCCCATAGCACCAGCTGACTTTGAGGTAACTTTATGATTCAGTTTAATAGCTGCTGATGATTAACCCCCCCACCCCCACCTCCACCTCTTCATTTTATGTGAAAGCAACGCAAGTAAAATTTGTTTGTGTGTGTGTGTGTATGCTTAACTGCCAGGGACTAGGACTTACTGGGATGTTAAGAAACTATAAGTCATGCGTCCCATATTTACATTTAGTTTTTTCTATTACAGAATATAGTATGCAGAACCCAATTACAGTGTGTTTTTAATTATTTTTTACATTCAGACAAATATTTGAATTAAGGAAAAAGTGCCACCAATGGTCATATCATTCAGTTTCAACAAGCTTCTGTTTCTACCTAGGTATATTATCTGCACTTCCAGTTCTATTATGAATGGTGGTGAGCAACCTACAGGACACATTGTTCACACTTTGATCTTAACTTCTATCTTTTAATAACATTTATATTTGGTATATAGGTATTATTAATCTATTGCTCTCATATTATACATGTTTACAGTATAGTACTGTATTGTACTGTCTAGGGTGTTTTACCTGTCAGCAAAGGCAATGGCAGATTCATCAGGATTTCTCTTCATTGGTGGTAGATACCAGACATTGCAGACAATGGCCCAGGATGTCATCATATACACAACATAATGAAAAAACTTGTCTTGCCACCAAAAAGGGTCACCAAAACGTGCATCAAAACGAATGGCTATAGGGTGAATGACACAGTCGATCTGAAATAATGGAATACAATAAATTAATCTTTCAAAACATATATAATATTTACTAATCTACAGAGGATCAAAAAACAAAATTTTATCCATATGGTCTGAGAAAATATGGCAATGGGTAAAATTGACCTTGCATCCAACATAACATGTTGTCTATGCTCGATAATTCAAATTACTATGTGGCCCACCCATTTTGAGTTGGCTGAATTTTTACCTGGAGTGTCTAAAAATTTAAGTTCAAATTCATTTAGGTTAAGTAATCCAAATTTGTGTTCGAGAAGAGGTTAAAAACTCGAACTTGAATTTATTCAGGTTTTCATTCAGCAGAAATCTCAATAATCCAAATTCCTATTCAGGTTAAAAGGTCAAAAATGCAAATGTGAATTCAATTGATTATTAGGATATTCAGGCTACCTGAAACCAAATTACAGTACAGAGTTCTTACAAAACAGACATTTACCTCTAGGCCAGACTGGTAATGATCTGGCTTTGCACTTTCTTCTGATAATTACCATGCTTCTTACTTTGTTCAGTACCATGTGAAATATTTATTTAGTACTGTACCTCTTTTTTCCTTAAGTTTTCAAGTTATATTTCGAGTTATAATTACTAGTACATACTTGGAAATGAATGTTCGACAGTATAGATAAATACTGTAATAGCGTATGCATTACAGTTGTGTTTCATGAAGCGTTGCTTGTTCAGTTTCTGTCTAGGGGAATTATTTTGATATTTTTGGATGTAGATTACACAGGTTAACCAGACAATGGTCTGTTTTTGATTCACCTGCCTTTCTGGGTCTTTTCCCAGTCGATGGCAATTATGACATACTTTAAATGTAAAGTGCTCATAGGCCACTGCTTCCTGCGCCTCTCTGAGGGGACCAGGTTCTGACTCGTGGTTTCCGGTAGGCATAAGAACTTCTGTGACTGATGAACCGAAACTAATATAGCACATACCAGTTCAGACAGCTTCAGGGAGCCTCTGGAGCTCACCCAGAAATTACATTTGTTTAATTACATTCAATGCTGGTTTTATGGTCAAATTTATGTATTTAAGTTTCAAGTCAATACAATAAGGCATTCAAAAGATAATGATAATAAACCTCAAGAACAACAAAACCATATTCGACTACCTATAACATTTTCTCAGTTTATTTAAAGCCTGCCAAGTTTATTATGCAGTGTATTGTTTTACAGAGTAAGGGCAATGACACTTTACTTTGCAGTACAATTCTCTAGAAACATTATTTAATTTTAACATAAACAATCCTTGGTTCTTGGATGTATCCTATCTTTTCCATAAGATCCATAACTAATTTCTATGTGAATTGGTATGACAAAGAGAAGTCTGAAAATGTATGTCAGCACCTAACTCAAAAAGTGCTGTACAAAAAAATTCGGGTATGGCCTGAATTCAGGTATGGCCCCGATATACCTACCTCGAATGCTCCCTTCTTGAACTGCACAACTGATGTGTTGTTGACACACACACCTTCAGGGTAGATGAGGATTGGTGGAAGCTGGTCATTGCAAGCATGTTCCTTTAGTCTGAAAATGTTCAAATAAAAGGAGGACTGTGACTGAAAATCATAATTTAAATGGTAATACCTCTGCCCTATGCCAACATCTCATACTACAGGTATTGTTCTTAAAAAATTAATGAATATTCTAAAAGCAAAAATCCCTACCCCACATGTATGAATGTACAGTACTGTACTGTATTAAAATACAGTAACAGAAAGGGAAAGAATATGGGTGGAAGGTGATTGTTGAGGAAGTGGTGGTGGGGAGGTATCTTAATAAAATGTTTATTTCTAAGCCAAGGTACTTGATTGCTCCAAAAAAAAATGTATGCTCCTCCAGTCAGATCACAAACCAGCTTGGGGTCAATGTGACACAGATATTTTAATCGAATATGTTGCCAGATGTTATGCTGAAACTGTTTAAATACCCTCTTGCTACTTGCCCATCTGGCTTCTATTGCCACTCATCACTGGTAGGCAACCAGCACTCTTGGTGCTTTCTTCTTGTGCTCTCCCATGTATAAATTGAAGGTTACCAAGAACCCCTCGTGCAGTTCAGTGACAGTTTCTTCATCTTGAGATGTTAGTACGGTTATTTTGCTCTGTGGCCCATTTCTTCTAAGATGCTTCCTGAGTGTTTATATTCATTTTTTTTCATGTTTCTCATACTTAGAGATTCACACAAAATTTCACCTATTTGTTTAATGTTGAATTTCTTTCCTTCATTTAAGTAGTTATGGTTATTTTTGCCTAAGAAAGCGACAGAGTAGCTTTGGCTCAGAAATAAAACATTGAGCTCTGTAAAGTATAATACCCTTTTCTGAACTAGTTACTCTGTCTCTCCCTGGTCTTTCATTCTGTGGGTTTTTCCCCCTTGAAGTGTGTGTAGATGAATGTAAGTGTTGTCTAGACCTTTGTACATGACAAGCACTGCAACCTGGTATTGGGTAGTAGTAGTAGTCAGGTGGGCAATTAGCATGGGGTGTTTGAATATACTGTAGTGGTATATACCTTTTTGTTAATGATTTCAGAAAAAGATACTGTATCAGCATTCCCTAACGTAAAGTTAACATGCCCAGCCTCTGCAACTAAAGCGAAGCCTTAAAGTCAAGCATGGCCTAATGGGAAACAGTGTGCAGCCATAAATGCAGATGAGAAAAAAAGGATGAAAATACAGATACTGTACTGCAGATGAAACACTTTGAAGTACAATCTCTATGGGTTATCACAAATACACAAGCTAGCTGGCACTGGAGATTTAGGACTATAAATAATTGGACTATAATAATCCCTATATAAAAACATATACTAGTACTATAGGGATTTATATTTTGATCCCATATTCCATTTAACATAGAACCAGAGGAACTTTATAAATAACTTCTTTACACAATATTACCCCAGCAATCTGTAAAAGTCCATTACCTACCTTCTCACAACAAGTGATCTATCCTTGGCATCTGAACGTTCAAACCAGATATGAGTGGACGCTTTGCTCAATGCTGACATGAATATATTCAGAAATCCACCTTGCTTCTGGCCAACCTGTAAAATGAATATAAGGAAGCAGATATGATTCAATCACATTTGAGGTAATTGAGGTAGATATCTAGTCTTTTATGCAAATTATCCTTCAGCATTTTGTCCTCTTGATAGAACAATGTTAATAAATAATCGGAAAACACAAATGCTCTTCCCATCTCAATGCTCACTCATCTCTACATCTCTCTCTTGGAACTGCTATATAAATGTTAAACAGAAATGAAAATGATACAGAATACATATGAATTCTTGAATTATTTAAAATATATATAACTCCCTAGAATTAAATCAGGCCACTGAAAATTGAACAGATGCATCACAGGTATGGTGGAGCAGTGGTGGTTTGGGTGCAGTGATTGGTCAGGTGTGGTGATGTGTAAGAGATGTGATGGAGCAGTGATTGGTCAGAGGTGTGGTGATGTGTAAGAGATGTGGTGGAGCAGTGATTGGTCAGAGGTGTGGTGATGTGTAAGAGATGTGGTGGCACAAATGCTCAAATCATGCCAAAATTCCTGAATCTTTTACAAGGTATATTAAATTACTAAGGCTTCAATCCTAATGAAAGTCACTTGTATTCACCTAATTGCATTTATGAAGAATGAGTATTAGCTTCTGGGTCTTGCCTCTTGACTGACTGACCAATGTGATGCCTCTTTATATGGGTTTGTAATTTTTTGCAACTAAATCTGTACATTCGAGAGCATATCTCTGCTCAAAATGCTATGCATATTCGTGGCCTTGCAAGAATGTACAAATACCAATCTTATGTAATCTCACCAATACATTATACTTTTTTCGTGAATAAATTATGATTATTATATAATTTGCCTTAAGTTACTTGCCCAAGAATTTGTAAAGTGGAGGTAGTAAATTCATCTTGTCCACATACAGTACTGTACATGTTTATGAAAATATAAAGTTTAGCTCTATTCATGTAACTGAATGTGAACTTTATTATCTTTGTTACAGAGAACAGATGTTGTAACACTGTAAAGGTGTTTGGTATTTAATATACACTGTATACATAGAACATGAGTCAGCCAGACAGGATTTTGAGAGGCACCACGTTGTCTGGCCCCAGTAATTAAGAACTCAAACATCTAGTGTTAATGACTACAAACCGACCAGTGGTGAGGTCGTGTGACTTGACCTCGCTTCTGCTAAGCCAATAATAGCCGACGGTTGGTGGTGTCTTTCCATCAAACAAGCCGCTGGTTAAGGTGTGGCTTGGTAGATGGCCTGGGGCCATCTAGTCTTTGTACTTGTACCTTTGTATCTGGAAATCAAATTTCCAGTGAGGATGCATCTGTGCATCCTCACATGTACATGATAATGCATCTCTGTGAACCCTCACATGTACAGTACTATACACGGTATGCACCTGTGTGCATCCTCATACGTACATGTTGTGCAAGTATTTTTTAATATGTCCATGACATCTAATTTTAATTTAAATAATTTTGAGAGGGACAAGATGGCAGTCTATATATATCTACTTTAAGCTTGCATTAAGGTCCCCTTACAAGGTTGAACTGCTGACTCTTCCCAGGATGCAACCCCACAACAATTGCCTAACTCCTGTGTATCTATTTACTGCTAGATGAACAGAGGCAGTAGGTGAAAAGAAATATGCCCGACCATTTCCTGATTGAGTGGAGATCAAACCTGGAATCCCCAATTTTGAGTCGAGAACAAAGTCAACATGTAAGTGACATGCAACCTGTAGTGTAGAGGTCAGCACAGTCAGTTCACAACCAAGATGTCCCTGGTTTGATTCCCACTCAGAATGCAGACAACTGAACTCCTTTTCTTTCATCTGTTAACATATCAGTAAATATGTAGTGGTATTTTGCCCAGGAGCTAGGCAACTGTTGTGGGGTTACATCCTCGATATCGTCAGTCATTGGCTTAGGGGAAATCTCATTATGCCTAATAAACCCTGTCTCCAATAAGGTGAAATCAAACTGTTTACAGCACTGCATGTTCAAAGCATGAAACTGTGTTTTCTAAAATGTAAATGGCATATCTATGTGCATCCTCTTATGTACAAGGCATGCATGTGTACATCCTTGCACATACATAGAAGATGTGTGTCCACACGTCTGCATGCATATGCACTCATGTCTCTCTTCATGTGCATGGGTATACATGTGTCATAGTCCTAACATGTGGATGTATTACATATGTTGATACATGTGTGGGGTACATTTAAATGCATGTGCATGCTTATGAGGCTAAGTAGTTGACTGTGCTTGCAGACATTAGTAGTTCTTTCTACCAGTCTGATACAGTGTACAGTACTTTTGTATAATTTTTACACCTAAGTCCACCAAGTTTTCCTTATCACTGTTAACTAAAATTTAAAAAAAAAAAAAATTAAATTGTTATATGCTCATAATGCTAACATAATCACACTTACCATATCATAGCAGTTGTTAGTAGCCAGCACCATGGAGTCTATAGGTGAAGTATGATTGGCAACAGCTATGCCATTCTTGGGAGCATTCTCTTCATTGTGGAAGGTTGCCACTAGAGACAGTGATCCTGCTATGAAATCAAAGCAAAACACAAGGAGTTTCTCATTAAGCCAAGATTTCCAGCTACCAGCAGGCAGCAGTCCAACAGCTATCATACATGTCCAAAATAACAGTATGCCAAAGACGAGAATGACAATACGTATGGGCAACAACAGGAGATAGCGAACAAGAAAGCCAACTACCCAACAGACAGTAAGACGGAATGATACAAATTCATATGAACGGTTATTTGTGCGTGAGAGAAGATTCCAAGAAGAAAGCTCTTCTGGTAGAAAAGATTTTGTAAGGTCATCTTCCATGATGGCTCCCATTCCTGCACTTATGTATTCAAGTACATTATCAAGGTGAAATCCTTTGATGTTTTCTTTAATTCCTAGTGCCTTTGGATGATTAAGAGATAGTAGTGGTCTATCCAACTCGTTCATAGGTGTTTCTGACTCTTCCGTTTCATTGTTAGGGCGCCTCCTTTCCACACGCTCTTGCCCAAAAGCAAACAGCCTTAAAAGAAATTTTATGTAATATTTGCGTAGACCAAGGTGATGGTGAACTGTTGCTGATAAGAGAAGCACCATAAAGACAAAGGCATATAACCACCATATTATTCTCCACATCAGTTCCATAACTTTTTTTTTTTTACTTTTCTAAACAGTTAACTAATCTTCAAATCACATACAGTACCTGTATACAGTATATACATAAATATATACTACAATATACAGAAGCGTTATCACAAATTTCTGTTCATCCAATATATTTTTTTAACTTTTAACTGCACCACAGTGAAAACGACACAAAACTTCCCAAGGACATCTGCATCATCTTGAAAAGAAATAAGGATAAAATTAATTTTTTATTGGAGTTTTATGTACATATACATTATGTCCATACATGCAATTATTACTATATCCACATGAAATATTAGTTTGTTTCACCTAAGCCCTTAATAACAAAAGCAAACACACAGCCAAAGAGTGAAATCCCACATTAGCCTAAAATATAAACATACACTGGTTACTCATGGTCCACAAAACACTCATATGATCACCAACCAGTACAGTATCTGTATCAATTCTAAAATACATCAGTGCACTATTCATAATTCAAGTTATGTACTTTACTTTGTGTTAAAATACATAACTCCCAAGTCATAACATACCAATTTGTGGCAAATTTCAATGCAACAGTTAAGTGTTCGTTTTTAATTATTGCAAGCATATGCAGTTAACAGTACAGTACAATATATTCTAATTTAGCAAACCCCTGATTTAACCAGACTTGTGGTTGTGTTGGATACAAGCTCAATTTATGGAGCAATTCACTGGATACATACTAATATGTGATGCTGCAATATTATACAACCCATCCTCCTGCTTAGATTGTATAGTACTTTCTGTAACTCTGTGGAACATTGTACATACATACATATATGTAATGGACAGTTAGTACAGAAGAATTTGATGGTATTCACTTTATGTCTGAAAAAATAAAGATTAAACAATCCATGGCTCACAAATGGCATTCTCAACTCAATCAACAAGAAACATGAATATGAAAAGAAAGTTAGGATTGGCCTAGTTTCAAAGGAAGTAGCTAAAAGGTACTCATCAATGCTTACCAGTATCATAAGAAAGGCAAAACTTGCATATTATGTGAATAGATTCAATGAAGCAAAAGGCAACATGAAAAACACTTGGAAAACTATCTCTAGTATCCTAGGAACTAAACAACACTCACATAACCAAATAAAACTCTACAAGGATGGGGATATACCGTCAACTGATTTAGAAATGGCAAATGAATTTAATAGTTTCTTTTCATCGGTTGGTGCTAATCTTGCCAGTAAAATCCCACAGACTCAGACACATATTAACACATATCTCTCAGGCAGCTATCCAAACTCTCTTCTCCTTTCACCAATCAGCCCGGCAGATGTTGTGTCCATCATACACTCTCTAAAAACCAAGGCAGGGAACACCAGTGAAATTCCGTCCATTGTGTACAAGAGAGCCTCCCATGCCCTTGCCCCACCCATAGCACTACTGTTCAACAAATCTATAGAGTGTCACACCTTCCCTGATATCCTCAAAAAAGCAAGAGTAACGCCAGTCCATAAAGGAGGCAATCCGGTGGACATAAACAATTATAGACCAATATCAAATCTACCCATTCTATCAAAAATATTTGAAAAAATTATTTACAAACAGCTCTATTCCTACCTCGTAAAATTCGACATACTCAGCCCCTGCCAGTTTGGCTTCCGGTCCCAAAAGAGTACCAATGATGCAATCATTAGTCTCCTTGACATTATCTACTCAGCCCTTGACAAAAATGAGTTTCCGATTGGACTCTTCATTGACCTAAGAAAAGCCTTTGATACTGTTAATCACAACTACCTCTTATTTAAACTCCAGCATTATGGAATCCGAGGCCTTGCCCTTGACTACATCCGATCCTATCTTAGTGACAGACACCAATATGTAACCATCAATGATACAACTTCTTCCACTCTACCAATTACCGTTGGAGTGCCACAGGGCAGCATCTTAGGACCTCTTCTATTTCTTATATATATAAACGATCTGCCTAATGTCTCTAATATTCTCAAACCTATATTGTTTGCTGACGATACTACCCTTATCTACTCAAACCTCAACCCACATACACTAAATAATGTTGTGAATAATGAATTAAAAAAAGTCCACTTATGGATGTCAACGAACAAACTAACATTAAACATCATTAAACATCGAAAAGACTTACTACATCTTATTTGGAAGCAAATCATCAAATGCAATTCAGCTACAGATAGACAACATTAACATCAGTAATAAAAATGATGGCAAGTTTCTTGGCCTATTCCTAGACAAGAGACTCAACTTCAGCACCCACATTCAACACATAACTAAGAAAGTCTCTAAGACAGTTGGTATACTCTCCAAAATCAGATATTATGTTCCTAACTCTGCTCTCCTCTCACTATATTATGCACTAATCTACCCCTATCTTAATTATGGTATCTGTGCATGGGGGTCTACCACTGCAAACCACCTTAAGCCCATCATCACACAGCAAAAATCTGCTATCAGAATAATAACTAACTCTGCTTTCAGACAACACTCAGCTCCCTTGTTTAAATCTCTAAACTTGCTAAATATTAACTCCCTCCACACATTCTCTTGTGTCAACTACATTTACAAAACCCTGTTCTTAAATGCAAACCATGCTCTGAAACTCTCCCTGGACAGATGTAATAGGACCCATTATCACCACACCAGAAATAAATATCTCTTTGATATCCCCAGGGTCAAACTTAATCTGTGTAAACACTCTATGCAAATTAAGGGACCTAGTCTATGGAACTCACTCCCTAGTGAATTGAAAAACTGTAAAACTTTTGCCTTATTTAAAAGCAAAACCAAAAAGTACCTAACTTCATCTATTTAGTTTCCTACACTGAGCTTTAAATTTGCTCTGTACCTAGTGGTACCCAATCTCCTAATTTTTATGTAATATCAAACAACCTTATCATTGTGTTCATTGCTGTCTTCTTTTATGTGCTAGCCATATGCTGTATTGTGACTACCAATTTTTGTCAACTACCATTCAAGCTGTCATTGCAATCAATCTTATATTGTTTCTGCTGTATTGTGCCTACCAATTTGTTGTCAACTACCATTTTAAGCTGTCATTGCAATCAATCATAGCTACCTATGTGCTTTAATATACTGTACCTATAATTTTCTCTCATCTTTTTTTTTTTCATTCCATGTAATCTGTTATCATTTTTTTGTCTATAAATTTTGCAAGTATTTACCTCCTTAAAATTTTCTTAGATTAAGGACCTGCCCGAAACGCTGCGCGTGCTAGTGGCTTTACAAGACTGTAATTACCATAATTGTATCCTCACATTCCTTATGTACATTCTTGTATATGCATAAATAAATAAATAAATAAATAAATAAATAAAGCTAAAAACCAAACTTAAATATTCCTAGACCTAGTACTGTATAGCACATATATGTACAATATTAAGCCTCAGATAGGATGTATTAGGCCTAGGAACGTTAGATTAGGTTAAGTTTTCTTTGCAGCATCAGTACAAAAACTTGTACAAAAACTCTGTTGTACAAAAATGGTTTGTCCAAATTCAACAGTACTGATTTTTACTCTAATTGTCATTTATGTCAATATATGTACAAAGGTCCTCATCGTTACTATAAGGACAGTACAGTACTGCCTAAATAGGAGGATGGGCTGTATTATTATATAAAACTGTTAAGATTTAGTGTACTACAACTTGGAAATAGTTTGTAGTTGACCTGATAATATTCAACATATTCATAACCTTTATCTGTACTTGTTAAAGATTCATTATACAGTATTAGGTCCTTTAATTACTTATGAGAAAGCATAATACTTTCTCTGATACAGAGAACAACAAATATAACATTCTAAAATACATCTGTATACAGTATACTGTTTCAGTAACAGGTTGTTGATTTGTGGAATCAATTACCGCATAACATAACTGACGTAGGATTCCTTGATTGTTTCAAGCATAGGTTAGACATATATATACAGTATACGAATGAGTTTGAGTGTATATAAATTGGAGCTGCCAAGAATGGGCCAATAAGCCTTCTGCAGTTTCCTTGATTTTTATGTCCTTATATACAGATACAATATAGATACAAGTCACACTAGATATCTTGAGGTTATCTTGAGATGATTTCGGGGCTTTAGTGTCCCCGCGGCCCGGTCCTCGACCAGGCCTCCACCCCCAGGAAGCAGCCCGTGACAGCTGACTAACACCCAGGTACCTATTTTACTGCTAGGTAACAGGGGCATAGGATGAAAGAAACTCTGCCCATTGTTTCTCACCGGCACCCGGGATCGAACTCGGGACCACAGGATCACAAGTCCTGTGTGCTATCCGCTCGGCCGACCGGCTCCATCGCTCGGCCGACCGGCTCCATACAATACAGTATAGATACAATAGTTTGTCAACAGATTCTAAAACTTGTTTAGCCTAACCCAGTCCAATCCAACCCAAATTCACCTAACTAAACCCAACCGATCATCAGCTAATACACCCTGATGTGGGAGATATGAGCTAACATCTCCCCAATATCCTAACCTAAGAATATATACTATTTCAACAATCAGAAAATGAGCTTTGTTGAACTATCTTATATAGGATTTGATCAGTCCAGCAACGAGGAGACCTGGTCGAGGACCGGGCTGTGGGGACGATGAGCCCCGAAAACATCACACGGTAACTTCAAGGTAACCCCATAGACATAGCCCAGCTGTACAATATAGCACCTCACCTAACTTAATATAATTACAACATTGTATAGTACTATAATTTTATTTTGTGTGAAGACTGGTAACTCTCAAACACTGACCCAGCCAATAACTGAAGACCCCTATGTTGCATGCACTAAATATTTAGCTTCATACCCAAGACAGTTCACCAACGTAACCACATTAACTAAAGCAACCACATCCCAGCCAAACACTTATAAAAGAAGCTGTTAAAAAATGTTGGCAAACAGTCTTCGGTGCAAAGTGACCTGTATTCTACCTTAAAGTCATCAGGCTGTTTTATTTATATTTACTTAAAAATATATACAAACCCCACAGCCACCAACTTGTAGCCACACACACTGACACCTTCCTACTTGCTGGTGTAGAACACCAAGTGTGTAGAGTGGTGGAAGAGAGGGAGTAGGAGCAGCACGTGCAGGAGCGCCAGGCCACAGTCTGTGTTGTGTAGCTCAGACATCTGTGTCACCAGCCTCCTCCCTCCTCCTCCCATCACCAGCCTCCTCCTCCCATCACCAGCCTCCTCCCTCCTCCTCCCATCACCAGCCTTCTCCCACTCGCCCCCCATCACCAGCCTCCCATTCACCCCCCATCACCAGCCTCCCACCACCCCCCATCACCAGCCTCCCACCACCCCCCATCACCAGCCTCCCACCACCCCCCATCACCAGCCTCCCACCACCCCCCATCACCAGCCTTCCACTCACCTCCCATCACCAGCCTCTCACCACCCCCATCACCAGCCTCCCACCACCCCCCATCACCAGCCTCCCACCACCCCCATCACCAGCCTCCCACCACCCCCCATCACCAGCCTCCCACCACCCCCCCCATCACCAGCCTCCCACCACCCCCCCATCACCAGCCTCCCACCACCCCCCATCACCAGCCTCCCACCACCCCCATCACCAGCCTCCCACCACCCCCCATCACCAGCCTCCCACCACCCCCCATCACCAGCCTCCCACCACCCCCATCACCAGCCTCCCACTCACCTCCCATCACCAGCCTCCCACCACCCCCCATCACCAGCCTCCCACCACCCCCCATCACCAGCCTCCCACCACCCCCATCACCAGCCTCCCACTCACCTCCCATCACCAGCCTCCCACCACCCCCCATCACAAGCCTCCCAGCACCCCCCATCACCAGCCTCCCCCCCCCCTCATCACCAGCCTCCCACCACCCCCATCACCTGCCTCCCCCACCACCCCCATCACCAGCCTCCCTCTCTCCCCCACCCCCAGTCACTCATTCTCATACCCATCTCAAGTATCCCCCTTCCCCAATTTCTTAATTCTTCCTCACCTCTCCCAACCCCGACTCTCCCAGCAGCCTCTCCATCACTAGCCATCCCTTCCCCCCCTATCCATTACTCCCCATTCAGCCTCTCCCACGCCCCATCCGCCTTGTCCCAGACGTGCCCTCGAGCTCCCCCTCATCCTTCCTGCCTCACACTCCCACCACATACCCATAAAACCCCATCTATCCCACACCTCAGCTCTGCAACACTTTATCTTCCCGGCCAGAATACCCCATGTGAGCCCGTAAACATGGAACTTTTGCTCCGAGTAGCTGAATATAACACATACAACAACATACGCTGTGCGTACTAGTGGCTTTACAAGAGTGTAAATACTGTACTATCCAATGTATTCTCACAAACCCAATGTACCTTCTTGTATATATATAAATAAATAAATAAATAAATAAATAAATAAATACCCCATGTCCACATTACGCCCTTATTCCCAAACTACGTACGGATTACCATCTCCCCAACATCCCTACATTAATTATTATACTATCTCCCCAATATTAGAGCATACCATCTCCTCAACATCCCAACATGTCATCTTCCCAGTATCCCAATATCCCAACATACCATCTCCCAGTATCTCAACATATCATCTCCCCAGTATCCCAACATACCATCTCCCAATATCCCAACATATCATCTTGCAATATCCCAACATTATTTCCCCAGTATCCAAACATACCATCTCCCAATATCCCAACATACCACCTCCCCATATCCCGACATATCATCTCCCAATATACCAACTTTCATCTCCCCAACATATTATCACCCCCAGTATCCCAACATATCATCTCCCCAATACCATAACATATTATCACCCCAATATCCCAACATATTATCTCTCAATATCCCAACATATCATCTCCCCAATACCATAACATATTATCACCCCAATATCCCAACATATTATCTCTCAATATCCCAACATATCATCTCCCCAATACCATAACATATTATCACCCCAATATCCCAACATATTATCTCTCAATATCTCAACATATCATCTCTCAATATCCCAACATAGCATCTCCCCAGTATCCCAACATATCTCCCCAATATATTATCTTCCCAATATCCCAACATACCATCTCCCAATATCCCAACATAAATTTTCCCAAATCTCCCAACATATCATCTCCCTCTGACGCTGGGCATGAACCGAGGATGGAGAGGGCATTTTCTTTCTGGATCGCCGCATTCAGCAGCTGGAAAAGAAGCTGGCGGCTTATAAATCATCATGTTGCTTGTAATTTTAGATTCCCCTACAAGGATCAAAAAGTTCCAAGTAGCACGGGCTTTGGAGAGCCCATAGTGGACTTATCTGCACATTTACAAGAGCATGCAGAGAATCCTAAGGGAGGGAATCATACATCTCACAGAGAATAATTTTGTAAAATCAACGCATCATGGGTTTGTTAAGAATAGATCCTGCCTCACTTATATGTTCACATTTCAGGAAACGGTAACCGTCTATTCAGACAAAGGACTTCCGATAGACATACTTATTTTGCTAAAGCTTTTGACAAGGTACTACATGAGAGACTGGCAAGAAAATTAGAGGCACATGGAATAAATGGGAGAATATTGGAATGAATAAAACAATGGTTAAAACATAGAAAACAAGGGTCGTGCTAAATGGGCATGAATCTGACGGGGGAAATGTGCTAAGTGGGGTGCCACAGGGGGCCAACCCTTTTTGTCATATACATCAATAGCATAGATGAGAATATTACAAACTACATCATCAAATTTGCAGATGACATTACAAACTACATCCAAATTTGCAGATGACACTAAGATCTATGATAAAGTGGAAAGTGAAAGTGATATTGAGACTTTACAAAGAGATCTACATGAACTCTACAAATGGTCAGATGACTGGCCAATGATTTTTAATGTCGATAAATGCAAGATCTTGCATGTGGGGCATAACAATCCACGTCACGACTACCAAACTGATTTCACTACCTTATAACAGATAGATGAAGAAAAAGACCTTGTAATCAGAATACATCATTCAATAAAAGTTGCACAAGTGGGAGCGGCAGTAAAAAAAAGCAAATCAAATCTTGGGAATAATCAAGTGTACCTTTACATTCGAGAAAAAGAAAGTAGTCGTTCAACTGTATTAGTCTTTGGTGCGCCCCACCTGAATAATTGCACCCAGACATGGAGACCTCATCATCAGAAAGTCATAGCTGCTCTGGAGAAGGTGCAACAAAAATCATACCAGAGCTTAGTCATTTCTCGTACAGGAACGGTTGAGGGCCACAAGGCTAACAACACTGCAATCCAGGCATGACAGGGGTGATCTCATCGAAGCCTTTAAAATACTAAACAATTTGGAGAATGTCGATCCAGATAGTTTCTTCAAAAGGTCAGATGTAACACGAACGAGAAGCAAGGTTTCAAGATCAACAAGCCACAATGTAAGATAGAAAACAGGAGATTCTTTTTTCACTATAAACCCGTGGTTTATAGTGAAGCCTACCCACTAGGTAGTAAGCCTACCCACCGAAGCCGTAAATGCCAAAACTCTGCTGGGTTTTAAAATACAGCTGGAAAAGATCATCAGTGCAAATGGGGGACCTTTGACAAGCCGCCGGATTCCTGTCCTCGTCGAGGCAACTAGTATTAGTGGCCCTCAGATAAATTCAGGTAAATATATAAAGGGAATATATGCAGTCCCAGTAGCACAGTAGTAAAACACTCGCCCGGCGCATCGGGAGCACTTTGGCCTGGGAGGATTGACTGGGCGCCAATCCTTAACTGAAGCCTCTGTTTACCCAGCAGTGAATAGGTACCTATTTGTTAAACGATTTGGCGGGTCGTATTCCGGGGAAAATTAGGATTTAGGACCTACCCGAAACGCTATGCGTACTTGTGGCTTTACAAGCACGATATCGATATCTATATAGCAAGTGGCTGCAGGTAATGAATCCCCCAATGTTTAGTTTAGTTCATTTATTATGCACCCCATACCCATCTTGTGGGCGGTAGTGGAAAGGGTTACAGAGGCACATAATGGGCTCAGGGACTGAACCCCACAATTCATTTAGTTACAATCTTGATGAGCTAGTTACAAAATTCAATATAAGTCGTCACATCAACAATGGGTTCGAGATCGACCTCAAGTACAGATTCTAAATTAAACAACTGACATATGTAGAGAGCTAGTGTCAAAATTTATATGTTTGTCCTGCACACCGCCCCCCATCCAGTGGGCAGCGGTGGATAGGTTACAATCACTTAGTTACTACCTACAGTTAGCAAACTGGGGATATTTGGCTAAAATTTCTGGTAGCAGATCATTTTGAATAAAATATTTACACATCGCTGGAACATTGGTTATAAAATTGTCTCTAAATTCACGTATCTTTTCGCACTCCATCACATAGTGACGGAGGGTGTGCGAATAATTTTGTTGACACAGTTTACATTTGGTCAGGTCTACATCAGCAGATAATGAGAATTCCCAGAGATACTTGTAACCGAGTCTAAGCCTAGCAGTAGTAACATCTAGAAGTCTGCTGATTTTATTGGATGATCCATAGATGTGTGGCTCCTCTTGCATGATAGTATGATGATAGATGGAATTACTGGTGTCAATTTCACTTTGCCTCAGATCTACAAGATCTTGTTGAAGTTCTCGGTGAACATTTCAGATGTAAACTATGTGAACAAGAGCTGGGACATACTCTCCAACACTATATCTGTGATTGCCCTGTTATAAGTGACTTCAGACCTAATGGTATGAGGTACTTTGAGTTCTGTAATTACTTCATACACCCAGGAATATTGGAGGATATTCTTGTGCTGTACCCAGACTTTGCTAATGGGGACTAATAGATCAGCCATACATTTTATGGTCTCATCTGTTTTTTAGTCATAGTTGATTTGTTTTTGTATTGAAGTTTTCTCTCATGATTCCATGTATGACTAACTATGCTGTAAGATGGGAATATTAGATGAACTTATAGCTAGCTGATTAGTCAGAGCTAGTTTGTTTTTGTATTAAGGTAGGTATTATCTTCCCTAATTCCATGTATAATTAAACATCCTGTGATATGGGAATAATAGTTGAACCTATAACTAGTTCTTGATGTACAATGTGTAATATCTCATATAGAAGAGGGTAGCAGCACATTGCTGTGTATACCTAATTTTCCTTGAATATTTCCTTGAACTCTTGAATATTTAAATAAAACAAATAAAATATTAGTTGAATACAACTAGGGGGAATACAATAATCTATGCATTGATCTCAATTAGTTTTAAGTTTTAGGTGTTTTTAAGAGTTTTTCCCACATCTTGCCTGAAAATGTGCGTATTAGTGGCTTTAGGCATAGTATGTACTAGCTCTATCTACAAATCCAACAGTCTGTCTGTAACTCATCTTGTATGTATGTAATTTTATTTGAATAAAAATTTATTTATTTATTTATTTATAATATTAAGTTGGACCATAAAAGTATTATACCCACATACGAATTCTAAGGTTTACCTAAAATGCTGCGCATGATTAAGGCCTTTAAAATAAAATAAAAATAAATACAAACTAATAAATGTAATAATGTTATAAATAAATTATTGTTATCGATGTAAGTATCAGTGTGGATGTCGTGCGAGTTTGTGGCAGGCGGTGCACAACACGGCCGCCATCTTCCCTTCTCTGTGTACCTCCACACGCCGTCTGCGGTGAGCTCCTGCCCTCAGCTTTACCCCCATTTTTCGAACACTTTTTTATATGGTTACATATTTGTTCATATCGTTTTGAATTGCAGGAAGCTGTTAAGTTATGTTTTAGATAATAATCGGCTCTCAAATCTTGGAAAAGGATAAAATAAATAGATATATAAGTGAGGTGGAGCCTGCCACATGTGTCGTACAGATGATGATGGTGGTGGTGGGTGGAAATGTTGTATGTATTGATAACTTGTCCCGTAGTAGTGAGCAAAGACACCTTCATACAGAAAACAGTTTATATGTTTTTTTTAAACGTGATCTAACCCGTGATATAAATATTAATGCTTTTAGACTTTGCAGTATGAGTTTTTTCAATTTTGAAAATTGTGGACTAATTCATTTTTTTTATTTATTTTTTATATATACAAGAGTTCATGCATTCTTGTACAGCCACTAGCACGCGTAGCATTTTGGGCAAATCCTTAATCCTATGCTCCCTGGCATACCACCCCCTTAAAAAATCGTTTACAACCAAGTATCCATTTTACCGTTGAGTTAAACAGGCTACAGTTAAAGATTTGTGCCCAGTAAATCCTCCCCGGGCAGGATCCGAACCCAGGACAAAGTGCTCGCAAAATGCCAGGCGAGCATCTTAATCACTACACCACGTCAGACTTTTGTTGTGTTTTACTATTTTAGTGAGGTGTTTTAAATGTTTTATTATTTTATTTATACAAGAGTTTTTACATTCTTGTACAGCCACTAACATGCATTGTGTTTCAGGCAGGTCCTTGATAACAATTTTCACTGAAATACCACCCGCCAAATCGTTTAACAACCAGGTACCCATTCACTGCTGGGGGGGAACAGAGGCATACAATCAAAGATTGGCACCCAGTCAATCCTCCCTGGCCAGGATAGGAACCCAGGCCAAAGTGCTCGCAAAATGCCAGGCGTGTGTTATCACTTCGCCACGGGGACTTTGATAGTGAACAAAGATACTAACTCATATTCAACATGTTTCTCCTTGAATGCTCTTGGAATGAGTTAGTATTATTGTTTGGAGAAAGTGGTTGTTGTGGAAACATTCAATGAAACTTTAGTTTCTGATACTGGAGTTAGGTTGAACTGCAAAAGATTCATCCATTGCTACAAGCCCCCCCTCAATGGTAATTTATTTTATGGGAATTGTCTTATACTTTTTATTTCATCCTGCTTCTGCCTGTACGATGCCTGTACAGCATTATCAACCCACTGCTTTATCCTGACCCATTTTGTTACATGACTTATCAATTTAACTTTTCAATTAAACGCACAATGTAATGCACACTGTACGCCATTTCCAGCTGGTGTTCAGAATTTTCAATTAAATAGAGAATGTGAGTGAAGAAGTGCCTTGACTGTTTGCATTCACTGCAAAAACATAATAAATTGCCTTGTGAGTTAAAAGGGCGAGGAAGTCTTTATTCACAGAGGTGGGAGGTTGAGAAAATAATAGGGGACCCTGTTTGATTATATGGAGGTTGGACTGTATGTCAGGAGAAAGTGCTTTCCTGAAAGCCAAATCTTCTTAAATAAATTGCACTTTCCTTACCTTGGTTACCTTACCTTGAGGTGCTTCCGGGGCTTAGCGTCCCCGCGGCCCGGTCGTTGACCAGGCTTCCTGGTTGCTGGACTGATCAACCAGGCTGTTGGACGTGGCTGCTCACTGCCTGACGTATGAGTCACAGCCTGGTTGATCGGGTATCCTTTGGAGGTGCTTATAAGAACCAGGTACTGCAGAAGGCCTATTGGCCCATACGAGGCAGCTCCTATCTACAACCACCCAATCCCACTCATAAACATGTCCAACCCACGCTTGAAACAATTGAGGGACCCCACCTCCACCACGTTACGCGGTAATTTGTTCCACAAATCAACAACCCTGTTACCGAACCAGTATTTACCCAAGTCTTTCCTAAATCTAAACTTTTCCAATTTATACCCATTGTTTCGTGTTGTCTTGTGTTGATACTTTTAATACCCTATTAATATCCCCTTTGTTATGTCCATTCATCCACTTGTAAACCTCTATCATGTCACCCCTAACTCTTCGCCTTTCCAGTGAATGCAAGTTAAGCTTTGTTAATCTTCATATGAAAGATTTCTAATTTGGGGAATTAACTTGGTCATCCTACGCTGTACACGTTCAAGTGAATTTATATCCATTCTATAGTATGGCGACCAAAACTGAACTGCATAATCTAAATGGGGCCTAACCAGAGCAAGATATAGCCGAAGAACAACACCAGGTGTCTTGTTACTAACACTTCGATTAATAAATCCCAGTGTCCTATTTGCCTTATTACGAACATTCAGGCATTGATCCTTTTGTTTTAAATTCTTACTAATCATAACTCCCAGATCCCTTTCGCAATCCGACTTCGCAATCTCAACACCATCAAGCTCGTATCTTGTAACTATCATCATTACCTAGCCTCAGAACTTTACATTTATCAACATTAAACTGCATCTGCCAGTCTTTTGACCATTTCAAAACCCTATTTAGATCATCTTGCTATAACTGAATAACTTGCAACTTGCTGTAATGGATAACTGAATTATCCAGTTCTCTCTTGAACACCGTGAGGAACTGCCTGTTATGCCCCTTAGGTGTAATGGAAGCGTGTTGAACAGCCTCGGGCCTCTGATGTTGATAGAGTTCTCTCTGAGTACCTGTTGCACCTCTGCTTTTCAATGGGGGTATTCTGCACATCCTGCCATGTCTTCTGGTCTCATGTGATGTTATTTCTCTGTGCAGGTTTGGGACCAGCCCCTCAATTATTTTCCACGTATAGATTATTATGTATCTCTCCCGCCTGCGCTCAAGGGAATACTGATTTAGACTCTTTAGTCGGTCCCAGTAGTTTAGATGTTTTACTGAGTGGACTCTAGCAGTAAAGGATCTCTGCACGCTCTCCAGGTCAGCAATTTCTCCAGCTTTGAAAGGGGCTGTCATTGTGCAGCAGTACTTCACTCTAGAGAGCACAAGCATTTTGAAAAGTATCATCATCGGTACAGTATCTCTAGTGTGAAAAGTTATCCAACCTGTCATTTTTCTTGCAGTTGTGACGGCTACTTTATTGTGTTCTTTAAAGGTAAGGTCTTCCGGCATGAGTACACCCAGATCCTTTACATTGCCTCTTCGTTCTATGTTATGATTTGCCTGAGTTTTGTATGTGGTTTCCGTTTTTAAATTTTCATTTTTTCCATAGCGCATGAGCTGGAACTTATCTTCGTTAAACACCATATTATTTTCTGTAGCCCATAGAAAGACCTGATCTACATCCTCGTAGATCGGGGGGCCTCGTAGCCTGGTGGATAGCGCGCAGGACTCGTAATTCTGTGGCGCGGGTTCGATTCCCGCACGAGGCAGAATCAAATGGTCAAAGTTTCTTTCACCCTGAATGCCCGTTACCTAGCAGTAAATAGGTACCTGGGAGTTAGTCAGCTGTCACGGGCTGCTTCCTGGGGGTGGAGGCCTGGTCGAGGACCGGGACGCGGGGACACTAAAGCCCCGAAATCATCTCAAGATAACCTCAAGATAACATCTGATTGGAGGGTTGCCGTGTCCTCTATGTTGCCTACTCTCATGAAGATCCTAGTGTCATCTGCAAATGATACAGTGCTATAGATTGTGTCCTTGTCTATGTCAGATATGAGGAACTCTGTCGAAAGCCTTTTTTAGGTCCAGATAGATGCAGTCAACCCAACCATCTTTCCTGTAAAATCTCTGTGGCTCAATCATAAAAACTGAATAAGTTCGTTACACGGGATCTTCCAGATTGAAAACCATACTGTCTGATATTATATAATTTTTCTCCAGGTGTTCTACCCGTTTAGTTTTAATTATTTTTTCCAATATTTTGATTGACACTTGTCAATGATACAGGTCTATAATTAAGGGGGTCTTCCCTGCTGCCACTTTTGTAGATTGGAACTATCCACACATCAGCTACAACTCCTGTACACAGGGATACCTGAAAAATCAATTGAAGTGGAATGCTGAGCTTGGGTGCACATTCTCTCAGAACCCATGGTGAAACTCCATCTGGATCAACTGCTTTGTTCTTATTTAGCTCCTTGAGCATTTTTTCCACTTCGTCTCTAAACACACTATGTGCTCTATGTTGTTCTCTGGAATTCTTAGTGTCTGGTTCCTATTGTTCAAGATTCAGCTACTGGGAACAAAACGTTCCAAGTAGCACAGGCTATGGTGAGCCCGTAGTGGACTTACCTGGCACAGGAGCGGGGCTGTAACTTGTCTGGTTCCCAAGTGCTGGGTGCTGGATAGTGCTGGAATAGTGCTGGATTTTTTACCATGTTATGGCTCAGACGATTAAGGTGCATCTGGGATCATCCTGGACATAAGTTCGAACCCTCATCATGGCCCTTGTGGATTTATTCATTTGATATATCACGCTATTGTGATTTCTATGTGTATACAGGTAATACCTTTGTGGCAACTCCCGCCTGACATCTCGGGCAGAGCAAACCTCTATTGACGCCTGCTCTGTCAACGCCTCTTTTTGCCAGACTTCAACCTATTACGGCCAAAATGTCACCAAGGCTGACTTTTCCCTGTGCTCAGGGAACACAAACATTTAAAAAAAAAAAAAAAAATTTTCTTGCGCATGGTGTTAAAGCCTTAGGGACCCCTTAACAGCTTAAGGGTTAAACCAGCAAATAGTAGAACCAACTAGAAAAGAGAACATGCTGGACCAATAAGTTTCATATTATATATACAAGTCATTTATTCACCATAACGAACCAATAAGCAGTTCTCGTAGGTATGGTAATAAAATCAAAGCACAAGCTTAATAAAATTAAAGCACAAAGTGGCACTCCAGAAGATGATGCCACCTGACACTGCAAAATTCCACATTGCTAACTACTCACAGCATTGCTATTGATATTAGAACCCTGTCACTAAATCATGAATATTAATAATTTCCCACAAGTTTATTTTCTAAAAAAATGTAAGCCCTGTTTATGTGGGACTTTTAAATCTTACATGGTACAGTGGTAGCTCCGTTTTAAAATTTAATCCATTCTCAGAGAGGTTATGAAAACCAAAACAATTTTTCCCATAAGAAATACTGTACTGTATTGTTGCCTGGAGTGTGTTTGCTGGCATATCAGCCTCCTATACACAGTGATCCAGTTATTGCACTTCTTGCCTCAAAATGTCGCAAATTTAATTGGTGATATTAACAAGGCATACGAAAATAGAGGTTCCACTGTACTTTAAAACGGCTCTGGCTGTGACTGCAGATAATTAGCCTCGTTAACGACACAAGCATGTCGCGCAGTGGAGAGTTAAGCCTATGCTATTCATATTCCATAAACATTATTTACGTTATAGGCCTAAGGTGATCATTGCACCCCTGTACATTAAAGCACTTCTGTGTCCTGAAGATTGATATTCTATGGCTACCTCTGTTGGTCAGCTACAGTTAAAACGCCTAGTTATTTCTTTTATAATAATGCCATCCCTAGTATTTCTCTTCATTGAAGCACATTTAATTTTGTTTGACTTAATCTGTAATTTTTGCATTGCAGGTAAAAAGTCAAGATGTCTGCAGACTTGTGTTGGCAAATCATTCGGGATAATCATGCACATCTCCTCAAGAAGAGGAATGTCAAGAAACCTTTTTCCACTGTAAGTCAAAATCTCATTTGCATGACTTGATTTTTATACCATAGTACTTTGTGCTGTAATATAAACAGTATTCCAGTTACATTGTTTCCATATCTATATAGAGTAAAAATTGAGACCTATTTAGCTTGTTTAATGACTTTAAAGTATGATTTAGTGGGTCAGACTACAGTTAACATTGATCCTTGTTATGCACGAAGTTTACATTTTGGATGAATTATAGAGAATGTCATTGGTCATTAAAAGCTCCAGTTATCAGGAAAAAACTGCAAGGCAATGGATACCATAGTCATTTTTGTGGTTTGACCATCAAAGAAAACTGTCCCAGATGTTAGCAAAAAGACATTGCCAAGCAGTTGAAAAGGACAGGCCTTGGTACAAAATATGGTATAGGGGTTGATAAAAAGCAAGTTAGGCAAGTGATGTGATGCTAGAAGATAAATAGTGCAATGCTATGATATGGCAATGTAGGTACAGAAGATTGAACATGCTTACCTGTACCAGAGTAGGTCACTGAAATTAGCTGGTATATTTGTTGCCAATTTATGCTTGGATGCAGTCATTCTAATTCACTTCATTCCAGCACTAAACATTACAGCCATTGTATTTATTGCACCACTGTTTTAGTTAAAATAATCTAGCTTGGGGATACTATTGTCAATTGCAGTTAAAAAATGTAGTTTGTAATGGCTATGATATGCTTTAATTTTCTTCCCCTGTTGTACATGTAGTTACACAGATGGCTTATCCTTGGTTACGTTCAAACTTCCAAATGCAGACTTGTGATGGGGTTATTGAGTCATGATATAAATACTATTTTGAGTTGTACAGAAATTAAATTTTTTCCATTTAGAATCTTGCAACAATGTTGAATTACAGTATATGTTTTTAACTATTCTTTTACACAGGAACCAAACAACTTGAAGAGTGTTAACAGTCCTCGTTATAATGGCCTCTGCAAGAAGAAGGTCATTGGCATTGAACCTGCCCCAGGTGGAAAGGGTATCATTCTCTCCCACAAGACCTCAAAATACCAGGTAATCTCAAATTTTTAGGTATTCCCAGTACGTGTTTCTCTTGTAAATTTGTAATCTAAAATCTGTAAAATGCATTAAGATGTCAACGTCCAACTTTACAAGTTACCTGTGGTGGTGCAAGGAAGGCCTCTTCCTGTTATTGATCCTGGATTAGAGGATTTAGAGCTATCATAACAAATTATCAGGTGTAGCAAAATTACACCATAAATTTTAAGTTTCCTGATTGCTTGTGTTTTCTGCAGGCGATGAGCTGTGTATTCTGTGTAGTTCTTTTGGTTGCAAATGGAACTTTTGAACTAACATGATCAAATGGGTTAGGGGAAGGGGGGGGCGAGTTAAATTAGGATGCAGGAGGACCAGGCTGGTTATTTGGTTAGTTCACAATCTCAAAAGAAACAATTACAAGGGTACCTCGGTTTAAGAATATAATTCGTTCCTGGAAACGGTTCATAACCTGAAAATTTGTAAACCGAAGCGAATTTCCCCATAAGAAATAATGTGAAATGAATTAACCCATTCCTGACTCCCCAAAAACTTCACTTCAAAGTAAATTTTATACCTAATTCACTCAAATCTTGTACAAAAGTATGTTCAAGTTATTACTTACCCTTGCTGATGACTCCTGTTGGCATATGGAAGATGGTGAGGAGGGGGAAGGAAGAGAGGTGTTACTGTTTGGAAGGTGAGTCCCCTTCCATTATAACATCAGGCAGTGGAGATTTCTCTGGAGTGCACACTGGCACGTTTTGCCTGCATACCACTAGGTCCTGGTTGTGGCTCACTGCTTGATTTTCTCACTTTTCTCACAAGGAAACATTCCATTGAAGATTGTTTTTCCCTTCTTTGCAACACCTGTCTGTAGTGAGGCATCACATTGTCATTAAAAAGACCATTGCAATGGCCTACTACAGCTTTATTTGGGTGATTCTTTTCAGCAAAACTTTGCAGTCCTTCCCATACTACACACATTTTCTTAATTAATGAGGAAGGAACATTCTCTACTGCCTCCCCTGAAGATTTGTTGCATTGCCTAGCTAGTTCAACAACATGAGTACCATTTTCATGCTTACAAATGATCTCTTGTTTTTCCTCTATGGTCATTCTCACGTGATTTCTTGCCTTGAACCTTACCACTGGCTTTCTTAGGACCCATAGCAAGATATATAATAACTTTTATGCTCAAATGGCCAAAAATTCCACAACAAACTGTAAATTCTTGTGAAGAATCCAGGCATGATAGTCACTGAGCGCGAGGCACTGGTAAACTGAGGCGCGATCGCCGTGCCACCACGCACTAGGTTGGCCGTACGCGTATCAACAAACACGTATTCTGATGTAAATTTTCCTAACAAATTGGGCTCATAACCCGAAAAGTTCGCAAACGGGGACGTTCGTAACCCAAGGTACCACTGTAGTTTTAAATATAGTAAGAATGGTTAAATATAGTATATTTACATAAAAAAAAGCCACCTGTTAACCCTTACAATTTACCCCCATACTGTAGTAATTTTAAATGGCTATTTAAATTATTTAAATTTTAAATAATTTTTTCTTTTGACATTGTTAATTAGCACCCAGGAAGCATGAAACCTTTGTAAAAAGTCTCTACCTGTTGTAGAATAGCTGTAGTGGCCTGGAGCAGTTACGTTTTTGGTAAAAACGAGGCGTTGCTGCATGGGAATAACGTATATTTTTTTTCAATGTTTCTCGCTTAGTTATTTTTTTTCACTGAAACAAGTTAAATGTGTCAGACGTTGTTCATTATGTATAACAGAAAATTATATACATCTAAATCTTGTACAAGAGTTTTTACATTCTTGTAAAGATACTGGCATACAACACACATCCAGGCAGGGCCTTAATCCCAATTATGACCACTTATGTTATAATTGGACATGACACACATTTTGTCTGAAATATATAATGATAATCACTCACTTGCTGTTTTTTAAATTTTATTACCTCATAGTATGGCTCCCCTTCATGTTCCTAAGGTCAATTGAACGTTATGTAGACCTTGGTAACGTAGGCCACGTTACTAAGGCCATAGAAGAAAAGTGAGGGACTAGAGGCTGAAGAAGCAAATGAGAGCCCCTTGTATGCATGGGGAGTTTTGAATCTTATGATATACTATCATCATCACTTGTTGGCTGGCACACCACCACACACATTATGTCAGCTGGTGCAGTGTTGTGATTAATAGTATTATTTAAAGAATTGAGAAATTGTATAATTTAAAGTCAAGGAGGGACGCTTAACACTTTCACGCCCTGGGCATGCGCTCCTCTAACTTAAGAGGTCATACCCCCGGCGCGTGGCAACCGAAATGTGTATATTCATTTCAGTTTTCTCCCCTTAATTCTCGTGCTATGTAGTTTGTTTTGGTATCATTCTGTTTGCAATAGAATTCCCTACAGGTGTATATGCATATATTGTCCAAAAGCCTGGCATGACTCCCCCCCCCCCCCCCCAGCAAAGCCTAAAGTCAGCAAAAGTTACCTGTGAACTCACAAAATCAGTAAAATGTGTATACTCGTTTCAATTTTCTCACTTTAATTCTTGTGCTACGTCGTTCGTTTTGGTATCATTGTGTTCGTAATTAAATTCCCTGCAGGTGTATATGCATATAATGTCCAAAAGCCTGGCATGACTCCCCGCAGCAAAGCCTGAAGTTACCCGTGTGCGAGCACGAATTTGCACACCTCAGCCTAATATGTATACTCGTTCAGTTTGATAACATCAATTTTCATGTTACGTCTTTCGTTTTGGTATCAAATTGTTCGCAATATAAAGGTGCGTATTTTAAAACTATTCCATAATAATAAGAGCAATAACTGGAGTTTTAACAAATATTTTAATTTTGGACGCTCCTCATCATAAAATTATTTCTTTCCAGTGTTCTGACATAAATTTTTGTTATATCTTTCATTTTAGTATCAAATTGTTCGCAATCTAAAGACACACATTTTAAAACTAGTCCCATAATAATAGCACAATAAATAGAATTTTAACAAATATTTTTAAATTTTGACCAAAACCGTATTTATAATCTTTTCCAGTGTTCTGACGTCGTTTTATGTTATCTTTCATTTTGGTATCAAATTGTGCCCAATCTAAAGGAGCGTATTTTGAAACTATCCCGAAGTCGATCGGATTAACAAATGAATTTTATACAATTTATCGGACGCCACCACAGTCCGATGCTCAGACTTGCGAAAAAAAATTGGACGCCAGGGGCGTTAGGAAGAGGGCGCTAGTGTTAAGTTTTAGAGAAGGTAGTATAGTTGGAACAACAAATAACCATAAATTTTTATCTGGATGATTAAAGTGCATTTCATGAATCTTCATTGGTCTACTCTGAATTATTTCTCAACCTGTTATAACATTATTAGGCTTAATTTTTATATTTTATATTGCAGAACAAACCAGCAAAAAATGTAGTGAAGACAACCATTAAGGCAGGACCTCGCCGAGCTCTCAACTCCATTCGTAGATTCATTCGCTATAACCACTACAGGAAGGATCTAAAAAAGGTAAATACAGTAGTGTATCGACTCCTTGACTCTATTCCAAGTTTTTCGCTAATGAATTTTACAATAGTTGCCAATTATTTTTCATCTAGGTATAATGGCAATTTTAGGGTTATGCAAGTATCCACTGATCATATAAGTATGGTTGAGGTAAGAGTCTTAAGCAAAACAAAATGATTCAGCACTGATCCTTTACCATTTGGTTCTGTGCACTTAGCAATAATAGGAGACCTGTTTGTAAAATTGTTGGTAGATCATATTTTACAAAAACAGGTTAGGTAGTGGAGTGTTACCTTACCTTGTGGTTCCTTTGTAGTGGTTCCATGGCTCAATGTCCCTACAGCAATGTTTCTGAAAAGGCCTGGTTGATGGTCTGGTGTTTTAACAAATTCTTTAACACCATGACAGGTTGAACAGTTATGTCTTGATAGAACAGTCTTGGGCCCTTGATGTTGATAGAATTGTCCCTTAGCATACCTATTGCACCTCCAGTCTTCAGTGTTCTCTTTTGCAATTTCTGCTATGCCTCCTGGTTTCATGTAGAGTTAGTTATTTCCGTGTGCAGATTTGGAACCAGTGTGTTTTTCAAATTTAAATTATTATGCATTTCTCACCTGTGCTTTTTGAGAATACAGATTTAAAAATGTAAGTTCCCAATAATTTTATTTTTCCAGCTTTAAATTGAACTATTAGTGTGCACTATTGCATTCTAGAGCGCCATTCTAGAGCGCCATTCTAGCAACACTATTCCATTCTAGAGCGCCGTTCTAGCAACACTATTCCATTCTAGAGCGCTTCAGTGTCTTGAATGGTATAATCATTGATCTGCATGTCCTGTTTGAAAGATACTCATTATCCAACCTGAAATTAAGTAGTTTTGTTTTTATAATAGCACAGGAGCTGAAATTTCATTAAATGTTATTTTCTGTGGCCAATTGAAAGACCCAATTTAAATCAGTTTGCAGGTTTCCTGTGTCCTCTATACTGTATTTTCTATTTTCACATCTTAGTGTTATCTGCAAAAGTATGATAAGGAGCTATAGTTTGCATCCTTGTTGATGTCCAGTATGAGGAAAGTATCAGAGCAAGAACCTTGGGGGACTGGCCTTTTCATAGTGGATGATCCAGATTCTACATTATTGAACTATTACACTAGTTACAAGGGTGCCTGACAGCTGGGTGGACAGCGCTTCGGATTTGTAGTGCTGAGGTTCCTGGTTTGATCCCCGGTGGAGGTATAGACAAATGGGCAAAATGTTTTTCACCCAGATGCCCCTGTTACCTAGCAGTAAATAGGTACTTGGGAGTTAGCTGCTACGGGCTGCTTCCTGGGGGTGTAACAAAAAGGTGGCCTGGTCGAGGACCAGGCTGCGAGGACGCTAAGCCCCGAAATCATCTCGCGCTAACCAAGATAGGTTCTGTTCAGTAGGGAATTAAAGATCCACCTTTCTAATTTGCCGGTAATTCCTTTTGTGCACATTTTGAGTGGACAAAAACCGGTCACTTATACGTGCGAAATAACTAGGCGCAATGATGTCGGGCAACATGAAGTTTAGTGCATATCGGGCAATGGCAAGCATAGCCTCAAGCCTAGAGATAGATGATGATGGGGAACCTATAAATCCAGGGATACTACTACAGTGCAAATAGCAAGTCACAATAACTTGGCTGAAAATTAGACACCCAATCAACAAATCTGAAAATGTAGCAATTTACATTTTGATTTGTCCTGGATCATTATCAAGTTGTGTAATGGAAAAATAGTAAATTTAAGTAAATTTATCGGGTAAGAGAGCGAGATGATAGGAAGGAAAATAAGGTAATAGGCAAGAAGGTTGAAGTATGGAAATAAGTTTAAAGTATAGGAATACAATTGAAGTATGGGAATAATGTACAAATGTAAGAATAAGGTAAAAATATAACAAAGAAGTAAATGAATAAGGTTGAAGTATATAAACACAAAACTGCAGAAGGCCAAATGACAAAACAGGTGAAATGGAGAGAGAAATAAATAAAAGCTTAAAAGAAATTTAACACTTTTTGAAGGAATTGCTGGGTCAGTAGGGTTGCAATGGAAGTGCACTTAAGATATCAGGTTATCACCAGACAAGTGTGAGCCCCTTGGCTTGGCTTCCAAAACTATCTATTAACCCCCACTTCGCTTTCACCTCGCTTCTGCCTTTACTACCACCACCTATCATTATCTGTCTTGAATGATTATATAAGACATCTTGCATTCTTGTTCAACCAACACTCCAGAAACTGTAGTAAAGGCTACTTTTATATGAACATTTAATATTTAGTGGATCTTTATTCAGTTATTGGTTTTTATTATTTTGTCTTTTAAGACATGCTTATTCATGTAAATAATAATGACAATAATCAATCCCACTAGGCTGCCCTTCGACGTGCTTCTGCTATTCTCCGTTCTCAGCGTGCTCAACCATTCAAGAAAGCCCGCCGTAGGATTCACAATGTTGCTAAGAAGACAACTGAATAAACTTTTGTTAATAAAGAAAAGAGAATAACTTTTTTTCTATATCCTGTGTATCTGACAGGTTATAATTTCAAGTATATTACAGTATTGTCATATATATTGAATAATATATGATAACTATATTGAAGGAAAAATTAAACATGGCTTATGGAATTAAAATGCATGTTCCCCTCTCTTTTACCTTCAATAGGAAAGTATTTCCAGTCACCACTTTCCACATAGAACATCAGAATTATGGAAACTGCAGAAAATCTATTAGCTTACTTTACACAGCTCTTATTTATACTGTATAGTGTGTGGCTAGCCTATGCTTGAGCCAAATCAGGTTTTAAACCACATGTATTAGTACATTTTTGTATTAATACAAAGAGCCACATGTATTAAACAAAGTAATCTGTTTTAAGAATCGATCTTGCTTCTAAACCATTATCTATGCAGGTTTTTACCACTTCTGCTTGCTGTATCAGTCCCAGTGCACATGCAAAATACACTCCCATGTGTTTGCTGTTCACGGAAACCTGTTCATGCACAGCAAAGCTGTTCGACCCACCTTTCTCCCAATGTTCCTTCATCTAGTTGTTTAGCCTTCCCAGTGGTTGGAGCCCCTGGAGGGAAACACGCTTGTGGGAGGGACAGGTAAAACGTGAGGTTCAGTGTGGTCCACCAGACTGACTGGTAGTTTAGCTAGCTCTTTTGTTTTATTTATATATACAAGGTACAATTGGGTTTGAGAAAGTACAGAACATTTATGTTTTTACGTTTTTACAGAGCCATTATCGGCACTGGAGGGTTAGTATACCTGTCAGACGAGACAATGTGTCTGAAGATATGACGACCAAACCACACACCAGAAGACGAGACTGCGACGTTTGGTCCATCCTGGACCATTATCAAGTCCAGGATGGACCGATACGTCGTAGTTTCATCTTTTACTGTGTGGTTTGGTCATTAGTATCCTGTCCCTGGGATACATTTCGGGCTCTTCATGATGGCCCATGTATACTGTTCGTTACCCCTTTAAGTACTCACCTAGTTGTGCTTGCTGGGGGCTTTAGCCCATGTATTGGTGTCTGGTGGGGGATGCAGTTTGACCCACCTTTCTTGCATGTCTACTCCGGAATGTAAGTAATTATCAAAAGAAGGCACCAAGCTAAGGGACATAAAGCTGATGTCGCACCCACGTTAGTGTGTTGGTGGTGCCGTGTAGCACCACCGATGTCGCAGATATTCAAAATGCGCTAAAGATCACCGAGGATGTAAATATGAGAACAAGAGCACACAAGGCGAGCAATATCAAAGGTTTCGGAGTAACCAAGGATTTTGTCTGAGCGTTAGGCAAGCTAGACACGATGTCCTGATAACCGACACATTCCACAAGGTGGTGCACGACTAAGTGGGAGGATACTGTTTGGACAGTAAGTAGCAGGGCGACGATCTATTAAATGTATGAGGGAAAGCGCCAAGCCATTACGACTACTGTATACCTGGTTGATGGGGTTCTGGGAGTTGTTCTACTCCCCAAGCCCGGCCCGAGGCCAGGCTTGACTTGTGAGAGTTTGGTCCACTAGGCTGTTGCTTGGAGCGGCCCGGTTGGTCCGGCACTCCTTGGAGGAATAAATCTAGTTTCCTCTTGAAGATGTCCACGGTTGTTCCGGCAATATTTCTTATGCTTGCTGGGAGGACGTTGGACAACCGCGGACCTCTGATGTTTATACAGTGTTCTCTGATTGTGCCTATGGCACCTCTGCTCTTCACTGGTTCTATTCTGCATTTTCTTCCATATCGTTCACTCCAGTACGTTGTTATTTTACTGTGTAGATTTGGTACTTGGCCCTCCAGTATCTTCCAGGTGTATATTATTTGATATCTCTCTCGTCTTCTTTCTAGTGAGTACATTTGGAGGGCTTTGAGACGATCCCAATAATTTAGGTGCTTTATTGCGTCTATGCGTGCCGTATATGTTCTCTGTATTCCCTCCATTTCAGCAATCTCTCCTGCTCTGAAGGGGGAAGTGAGTACTGAGCAGTACTCAAGACGGGACAACACAAGGGACTTGAAGAGTACAACCATTGTGATGGGATCCCTGGATTTGAAAGTTCTCGTAATCCATCCTATCATCTTTCTGGCTGTCTCAATATTTGCTTAGTTATGCTCCTTAAACGTTAGGTCGTCAGACATTATTATTCCCAAATCCTTTACATGCTGTTTTCCTACTATGGGTACATTTGATTGTGTTTTGTACTCTGTATTAAGTTTAAGGTCCTCATTTTTACCGTACCTGAGTACCTGGAATTTATCACTGTTAAACATCATGTTATTTTCTGATGCCCAGTCGAAAACTTTATTAATATCAGCTTGAAGTTTTTCAATGTCTTCAGCCGAGGTAATTTTCATACTGATTTTTGTGTCATCTGCAAAGGATGATACAAAGCTGTGACTTGTATTTTTGTCTATATCTGATATGAGAATAAGGAAAAGCAGCGGTGCAAGGACTGTACCCTGAGGTACAGAGCTTTTAACTGCACTTGGACTAGATTTTATATGGTTGACCGTTACTCGCTGAGTCCTGTTTGACAGAAAACTGAGTATCCAGCGTCCTACTTTACCGGTTATTCCCATTGACTTCATTTTGTGTGCTATCACGCCATGGTCACATTTATCGAAAGCCTTTGCGAAGTCCGTGTATATCACATCAGCATTTTGTTTTTCTTCTAATGCCTCAGTGACTGTCGTAGTGCTCAAGTAGCTGTGAGAGGCAGGATCTTCCCGCTCGAAATCCATGTTGGCCTGGGTTGTGAAGGTCATTGGTCTCCATGAAATTGGTGACCTGACTCCTAATCACTCTCAAATACTTTTATGATGTGCGATGTTAGTGCAACTGGTCTATAATTCTTTGCCAATGCTTTGCTCTCTCCCTTGTGTAGAGGGGCTATGTCTGCTACTTTAAGTGCATCTGGTATCTCCCCCGTGTCCAAGCTCTTCCTCCACACTATACTGAGTGCCTGTGCTTCCGGCACTTTGCATTTCTTTATAAATATTGAATTCCATGAGTCTGGACCTGGGGCCGAGTGCATGTGCATGTATATTGCACTTGGAAGGGGTCAGGATATGGGATGGGGCGGGTGGAAAGTAATGGTGCCCAACCATTTTGACGGTCGGTAATTGAACGCTGACTTGCATGAAGCGAGACCGTCGCTCTACCATCCAGCCCAAATGGTTGGGCTTAAATGTCCAAGTTACGACGACGACGATGATACAAGATAAGGCACCCATTCAGGAGAGCATTGAAGAGAAGCCGGTGAGAGGAAGCGCTCAAGTTGTAATAGAAAGAGCCAAGGTTTAACCGAGCTGCATACCAGGGGATGACTATGTTAATTAACTTCATTGTGGCGAGACGGGGAAGGTCGTCTTCAAGGGCGAATTGTGGCGGTTCTTCTGATGGAGATGAAATTTTGATCCTCGTTCGATGTTCTAAACGGGCATATCTAGATCCCTACCCCCCTAATGAGAGGAATGTAGTTTTACACCTCTTGGACAAGAGGTGATCATGTTTCTAGTTCTTCGTGTGTGTGCAGTACTAGCTGCGTGTTGACATGGCAGGTCTGTCGTGCGTGGTCGTTGAAGAGGCTTGCGGGTTGTGGGTGTCGTTTCGTTGGTGTGGTGTACCTCCTACGTGGATTTCCTAGTCCGAGTCAAGAGTCTTCCGAGGTAGGTGGTTTGGGCTTGGGTGTCGCTGTGGTCCTATCTACGAGCATGCCGAATGCAGTTCAAGTTAAACATGTATGGCTAATGTTTTTTTTTCTTTTTTTTTTTGAGATATATACAAGAGTTGTTACATTCTTGTACATTCTCTAATATGTAACCTAGATAAAGCCGTTTCCCATCGTCTCGGTGGTAGGAGGAAGACCAACGGGCTATGTTACTTTTAAGAGTGTGCAATTTGTTACCTGTAACCAAAGACCAACTACTCTGAGGATTGGATGACTGGGTAGTGGTCTCAAAGAATGTACTATTGAAGGCCTCTTACCCCATGGGGCCGGAACTTAATGACATGGCTTGAGAACATTCAGAACATTACTCCTCCACTGTTCTTCAGTGCGTTAGTGGCAAGTTGTAGTGCAGCTAATTCTGCATGTGTGTGGAGCTAAGCCAGTTATCCAGTCTCGCACACTTGTGGTCTGTGTACACATGTCTGTATATTCTACAGGCTGCTGCAGTGCGACCTGTTGACATTTGAACAGACCCATCAGCGTAACCATAGTGCTCGCGAGGTCGTAAGTTATTTATAAAAGAATCAATAGTTTCAAGTGTTGTTGCTTTCAGGAGTGCTGGATTTTCCTTCTTCTTTTTGCTGATGGGCGTGTAAGACACTTGTTTTTCAGGGTACAGATATAATGGAATATCATTGGCTAATACTTTGCATACAATATGAATATTTAGTTTAATGAGACTGGCAACTTCTACTCAACCAGCTTGCATATAGGTTGCCCGCTGGTGTGTTGGCAACACTTTTCCGCCTACAAGCAGCACTAGTCAGTTTTTCTCTTAAGTAGTAAGGGTGATAGTTGCTCTCTCATCACCTTCACACAGAAGGTAGTACTGGCTGCTCAATTCTTTCACATATGGTTGGGAGTTTCAGCTCCTCCCTCATGTTGATGATTCTTGTGCATCTGGGAGCTCCAAGAATTATCATCATGGCTTCATTTTTTATTTTCTCTAGAGTATTCAGCCTATTGTTAGGGAGACTAATAAGTTTTTTCAGGGATATTCCTGCGCGGGCCCTAAACCTCTGGCCGGTCCACTAAGTGTTGCTTGTTTCTGTTTTACTTAGGCGGAGTATGAGTATTTATGACTCGTATGGTCGCTTCAGTAAGATTTTGTCCCATGTGTTTAACAACTTCTGCTCTGTTGAATCTAAGTTGAAATCTTAATGGCTTTGTAACTGTGTTAGATAATGTTCCAGTGGTCTGTCGGGCATTTTCTGACCAGGGGGAGAAAGATACTGGCAGTATGGGGCGTTAAAGTTTATTGAAGATTAAATTCTGCAGAACATGTAAATATATAAAGTTCAAATATAAAGTAAGTAATTATATAAAGTTTATATTAAACACGGTTTATATTATAGACTTATAACAAAGTTTATATTATTAAACTTAATATTGAACATGTAAATATATAAAGTTTCAAAATATATAATTTAAGGACTATATAACGTTTATATTAAAATATATAAAGTAAATATATAAAGTAATTTTATATTACATTATAATACATTATATTACATTATATATAAAGTAATTTTATATTACATTATTTTATATTATAATTTTTATTATATTTTATATTTGATATTATTAAACTTAATATTGAACATGTAAATATATAAAGTAAATATATAACGTTTATATCAAAATATATAAAGTAAATATATAAAATAAGAATTAACAGTAACAATTCCAAGTCCGAGGACTAGATTTAACTTAAGGTACACCCGTAGTAAGTATGAGACCTTAGCCTATAGTGACATGGAAACTAATTCTGCAGAAACCTAAAGGTTAACTGGTACTAGAATTAAGGCCGAGTGCAAATGTGTAGTAATTATATAACACTAGGATATAACAGGCAGGACACAAAGAATAACTAATAAGTGAGAGACCACATAACACGTAATGTACCCGGCCAAGAGGCCGTAAAAGACCTAATGGATAAGGAGAAGGGGGTGTGACTACAAGTAGGGCTTACTAGCACCTAGACTGGGCAAAGTATTAGCTGCGGACAGCGGGACACTTGGGGACCGGCGCTGCACCCCCCTTCCCACATGCAGTGGGGAGACAATCGGGACAACTGTGCAAAGCATGACGGGGATACAAAAGCAGCTGCTTGCAAAGGAGGGGGAGGGTGGGGTTTTGCGAGGGCAGCGGCGAGGGCAGGCGGAGTGAGGCAGAGCCCCAGTGTGCGCCCGTATTTATACGGCCCCAAACTGCCCGCGCAACGCCGCGGGACGCGCTGCGCAATTGTTTCTTTCTCCCCCGCCAGAAAAATCCCCGCTTGCGATCAAGCAGTGACCATTTCTCCACAGTGCTGACATTTCTCTTGGACATCTTCAAGAGGAAACTAGATTGTTTCCTCCAAGGAGTGCCGGACCACCCGGGCTGTGGTGGGTATGTGGGCCTGCGGGCCGCTCCAAGCAACAGCCTAGTGGACCAAACTCTCACAAGTCAAGCCTGGCCTTGGACCGGGCTTGGGGAGTAGAACTCCCAGAACGGGGCAAAATTAAAAAAGAAATTAATTTCTTTGATAATGATAATGATAATTTTTATTTAGGTAAAGGTACATACATAAAGAGATTTTACAAAGTTTGTTGGCTTTATAGATAGAGCTAGTACATACAATGCCTAAAGCCACTATTACGCAAAGCGTTTCGGGCAGGAAAAAACATTAATGACTAAAGCTTAAAACTAATGGGTAAAAAGAAAAAAATGCGTTGAGTACAAATAAAAATAGAGGTAAAAGAGGGGGGAACATTGTTGAAAAAGCAGCACAAATACAATTACAAATTATTACAGAAAATTACATTCAAACAGCGTTGATTTGAAAAACAAAAAAAAACAAAAAACATACATGGGTTGACAATAGAGGGGTAAGGTAGGTTACAGGGAATTTATTAGGTATAGCTTCGTTTTTAACTTAAACTGGTTGAGAGAGGTACAGTCTTTAACATGGTTGGGAAGGTCATTCCACATTCTGGGCCCCTTGATTTGTAGAGCATTTCTGGTTTGATTAAGTCGTACTCTAGGAATATCAAAACTGTATTTATTTCTGGTGTGGTGCTCATGGGTTCTGTTACAACCTTCTATGAAGCTTTTGAGATCAGGATTGGCATTATAGTTTAGCGTTTTATATATGTATAATACACACGAGAGAATGTGCAGTGACTTAATGTCTAACATATTCAGAGATTTGAGTAGGGGTACCGAGTGATGTCTGGGGCCAGAATTGGATATTGTCCTAATAGCAGCTTTGTGTTGAGTAATTAGAGAACGTAAGTGATTTTGGGTAGTAGAGCCCCAAGCACAAATACCATAGTTGAGATATGGATAGATAAGGGAGTAATAGAGAGTCACCAGGGCAGGGCGTGGTACATAATATCTGATCTTAGAAAGAATGCCCACAGTTTTTGAAACTTTTTTTTATATGTTTAGAATGTGTCCCTGGAAATTCAGCTTGTGGTCAATGAGAATGCCAAGGAATTTGCCATCTAATTTGTTACAAATTTGGGTATTGTTTATTTTGAGATTTATTTGATTAGAGGATTTATTGCCAAACAGAATATAGAAAGTTTTGTCAATGTTAAGGGTGAGTTTGTTGGCAGTTAGCCACAGATGGACTTTATTTAGCTCAGTATTTACTGTGGCATTTAGAGCAAGGGGATCAGGACTGGAGTAAATGAAGGTTGTGTCGTCAGCAAATAGAATTGGTTTGAGGTGTTGGGAGGCATTTGGAAGGTCATTAATGTAGATGAGAAAGAGGAGAGGGCCAAGTATACTGCCCTGGGGAACACCAATGTTGATGGGTAGGGTGGGAGAAATTGTATTATTCACAGAAACACATTGGAGCCTGTCAGTAAGGTAGGATTTGAGGTATTGTAGGGAGTGTCCTCTGACACCATAATGATGTAATTTAAGAAGAAGGTTTTGGTGGTTGACAGTATCGAAAGCTTTACGCAGGTCCACAAATAACCCAACAGGGAACTCATTTTTATCAAGAGCTGTATGAATCGAGTTAAGCATACTAATAAGTGCATCGTTAGTTCTTTTTTTGGGCCTGAAGCCATATTGGCAAGGGCTAAGTATATTGAGTTTGGCTAGATATGAGTAAAGCTGCTTATAGATTAGTTTTTCAAAATTTTTTGACAAGTTTGGCAGGATTGATATAGGTCTGTAGTTGTTAACATCTGTGAGATCACCACATTTGTGGACAGGCGTTACTCTCGCTTTTTTTAGAATATCTGGAAAGGTTTGGAGTTCAAGTGACTTGTTGAAGAGCAAAGCAATAGCAGGGGCTAAAGATCTGGAGGCTTTTTTGTAGATTAAAGTTGGTATCTCCTCAAGGGCACCAGACTTGGTTTTAAGGGAAAGGATTATCTCATTGACGTCAATGGAATTAATAGGCTTTAGGCACAGAGACTGGGGATAGTTCCCTGTAAGATAGTCCTTAATGTCAGTACTGGAAGATGGAATATCATTAGCAAGGGATGAACCAATGGAAGAGAAGAACCTATTGAACTCAATAGCAGAATCAGAGGCTGAAAGCTGACCATCGTTATTAGACAGGAGAGTCGGTTTGTTATTTAAAGACTTCTTTGATCCCAATATTTGTGAAATTGTTCTCCAAGTTTGTTTAATGTTGCTCTTTATTTGGGTAAATTTATCTTCGTAGTATTTAGTTTTGGCTCGTCTAATTATCTTAGATAGCAATAATGAGTAATTCTTTGAGAATTCTTTGGAGACAATTCCTAACCTATACTTCTTCTCAAGGTCATGTTTTTTATTAATAGATTTAAGTATTCCCTTTGTAAGCCAGGGATTGTTAAGCCTTTTGGTTGTGACTTGTTTTGTAAGCATAGGACAGTGGGTATTATAAAGGCTAAGAGTTTTTTTAAGAAAAGATTGAACTGCTAGGTTGATGTCCTCTATGTTACCTAACTCGGACTCCCAGTTGACATTATCAGTAGCAGTTATAAAATTGTCTATAGCAGTTTCATTGTGTAGTCTAAAACGTATCTCTCTTGACTCAAGAGGTGGTTTGCTAATGTTAGTTAAGAGAAATGTGGGGTAATGGTCTGTAGTGCTATCGGTGATTATACCTGAAGTAAGCGGAGAGGTTATGTTTGTCCAGATGTGATCTAGAGTCGTGGCAGTGCTATCAGTGATTCTAGTAGGTCTAGTGATTAAGGGTATGAGGAAGCAGGAATTCATACAGTTGAGGAAGCTAACAGCAGTAGGGTGTTCTGGCTCGCAGAGGTCAATATTAACGTCCCCTGCGATAATTAGGTGGTTTTTGTTCAGTCTGTTATCAAGTATTAGATTTCAGACTGAACAAAAACCACCTAATTATCGCAGGGGACTTTAATATTGACCTCTGCGAGCCAGAACACCCTACTGCTGTTAGCTTCCTCAACTGTATGAATTCCTGCCTGCTTTCTTTATTATGCACCCCATACCCATCCCGTGGGCGGTGGTGTAAAGGATTACAGAGCACGGATAACGTTTCAGGCAATTGAATAAACATTATCATACACCAACTGCCTCTACACTGACACAATAAAGTAAACAAATTAATTACACATATATTATCATTATCATTAAAGGATTATAGTACGTAAATGAATATATTAGGTATATAGGTACATTCAAACTTTAGTAAGTTTTTACTAAAAAAGTAAGTTTTTACTTAAATTAAGTAAAAAAGAAAAAAATCAGTTTGTCTATATCTCCGTCATATAGAATATGGTAGCAGCACATTGTTGTACATACCTAACCCTGTTAATACAAATTAATATGTCTTAACTCGTATTGCATTTCATGACAAAAAAAAACAAATTGACGTACCTCAGGAAACTGACTTAGCCAACAAAGAACCTTTAATTAACTTCTGACGTCATAATTCTCCTTAAGTACTGAATTAGATCTATACTGTTTATGTTGTTATTAACGTTATAAGTTGGTAGAGAAGTGCGGCCGGAGGACCTCGACCACCACTGTTGGTTCTCTGCGGGAGCTCCCCGCCCTCCATACTTTGGTAATGGCTCTAATAAGCGCTTCATATATCATTACTTTATTAAGTACACTGGTAGTGTAAATGGTGGTTTTGTGTGGCCAGGGAGGAAGCTGCCGCGATAGTGTATTTGGTGCTGGAGTCAGGCTTACGTCACATCTGGTGTTAGGCCAGTGTGGTGTCAGGCCAGTGTGACACATCTCTGGGGCTGTGTGTGAGGGCAGGTAAGGGATGTGCCCCGTGGGGGCGGGTCAGGGGTCATCACGGCCCAGCCCCACACCTCTGCTCACATACACAAGTACTCCTTTAACTTCCCATCCAATACACTTAACCTACGTTCCCAAACCTAACCAAACCTAACCAAACCATTCTTGTAATCCAATCCAGTCTGCTAACTTAACCTGCTAACCCAATCCTTTAGCCTGAATTTGCTTGAGGCCCACCATCTCTATTGACCTCGACGGGGACAGGAAGCCAACAGCTTGTCAAAGGGTTCCCCGATTTTCCCTGAACGTAATGCACCGAGCTGTATATCTACTGTAAATGGTTTTAATGGAAAATAAGCTTTGTCGAAATGCCTTTGTTCAATTTGACCACACCCGTTCATAGCCTATAGATACATTATTCACATACTTAGGTATATAATTGTTAAAACTATACATTGGTAAGGGTCTTGTAGTATTGTACAGTACTAAAGCTGTTCTCATGCTCTGAGCTCTCTACTGTGCCTTACAGGTTTACGTACAATTTCTTAATGCTGGTTCATTTACCTGAATTTACCTAAGAGCCACTATCTCTCAAGTGGCCTTGGTGAGGACAGGAAGCTGACAGCTTGTCAAAGATTACTCCATTTATTCTGATAATTTTATTGAGCTGAATTTTTAAATTTGCCATCGTTTTGGCATTGATGGCTTTGGTGGTTTTGGTTGGTGTGTGTGTAGTTGATGTCTGGTTTATCTTCCACAGCTCATATTTTTCCAGAGTTAAAATAATAATAATAATAATATTTAGGGAAACATGCATACATATGGTACTGTACACAAACAATGGAGGATTCATAAGTAAAATAAGTACAGTGACTAAAGCCACTAATATGTAGTGTTTTCATCTATTGGAATATGGGAGCGGACTTCTTTACTGCGATCATGGACAGTTTTCTGAGTCGGCTTGGTTCACATCCCTCATGCTTTCCTCTACGTTCTTATATATCTTCATATCTGAGAGTGATTTGTGAAAGGTGTTTATGGATGGCCAGGCTAATTTTCAGCTACTAAAACAGATGTTTCACATGTAAACTTAGGGGTTTCTTCATGCCTGGAGGGGTTTCTTCCCAGCCTCCTGCCTTATGTAGGGGGCAAGTGATCAGTTTTCTCTTGGTTACAGTTTCTCATCCTGCTGTTTTGTCCACATCTTTAGGCAAGTATCAGCTGTTCATCCCATAAAGTCTTGCAAGGGCCAGCCTTAGTCTTTTTTTTTTTTTTTTATTGTGGTTGACTCCAGTGACATTGTAGTTGGGGAAATAAATCTCGGGTATTTTGGCAGATTTGGGCCAGAGATTGCTGCATTAGGTTAAGGGATTCTGTGGGACTCGGGTAGCCATCCTCCCTGGTTCCTATTTTGTTATATTTTGCCATGAAGGGTGAGTTTACTGGGCAGCATCACTCATCCTGTGGGTGAACATTCTACCATAGCATTATGCACAACACCCTCAAATTGGTACATTATTTTATTCTAGACAAATTCTTGCTGTTACTGATTCTCTCCCTTGGCCACCTCCATTTCATCCATAATGATTAGGATTGGCAGCTGCAATCACATTGTATCAGCATTCAGATTCACTTATTTGTTTCTCTATCCTCCTGTCCTTGGTTACCTTGTCATGGTGCTGTTGCTTGGTGATACTTTTAACTTGTAGAAATGTTTTGGGTATGAAGTTTAAATATGATCTCCATCAGCACCCTCAACAGCCAGCAAATGTGCTTGTTCATTTTCACAGATTAATGTGGGAGAGAATCCACAGGAATTTCTTCACCATTCTATGATTGGGTGTGTTTTCACAACTCTCTTGATTTCGGCTACTATTGCCAAGTTTTCTGCCTGTTTTTTCTTGAGGATTTATAGTCCAGTTTTGAATCAATGAAGATCACTGCACCTTTAATGTTTCTATCAAGGAATCTTGATGCCATAACAATGGCAGTGAACTCTTGCTTGCATTTAAGAGGCATAGTTCTCAAAACTGTATGTGCTTTTATCTCTTTTTCAGTTTTGAAAGACATTATTCTCAATTACAGTGTAACCATCAGTGCAATTTTTATCTAATTAATTTCTGGCTTTATTAATTTCCTTGAGATACTTATGCCTCATTTCTTCTGGTATCGTGTTGGATTTTTTCATTGTCATCTCATTATAATCTTACATGGTTCATCCTCCCAAAAAGATGACATTCCTATAGGCATGACCTCTAGGACTTGCTCAATCAGGTGGAGTTCTTTGAGGTGGCAAACTGATTGATGATACCACATTTTGCTTTTCCTGTTTCTGCCTGTAATTACCTCAGAACTTTTTTTCTTGGCAATATTGTAGTGGTAGTCACTGGCCATCACAATTACGAGCTTGGCATTCAGTTCCTTAACCCTGCTTTTAACACTGGGGAACACAGCTTATCTCGTAGATTCGATGTGTTGGCAGTTTTGTGAACTCCAAGAATGAGTGCCATGGCTTCATTTTCAAGTACTGTACAGTATTTTCATATTGCTTGGGGAGTGCATGCAAAGACTAGTGTGGAATGTTCTATGATGGATTACAAATATGCTGTGTACACCATTTAAGTACTGTACAGCAATATGCCCTTTCCAAGACACAGCTTTCAGAACTCTGAGACACCTTTTATGTCACTATGAGTTGATCGAGTTGCACATTCTTTCTGTTGTTAGAGCCGACAGTGATGCCAAGGTACTGATAATGAACAACTCTGATAATGACGTTTCACTATTAATTTGCGTTCTTCACTTAATCTTCTCTTGTGTTAGTATGTGTTTGTCTTATTTGTGAAGAGAACGAAATTGAGTTCGACATTTCCTTCCAAGGAATTTAATGGACTCCAATTTTCCAAAGATGGGGAGTGCTTGTATTAGAACATCTGCATATCCCACTTGTTTTGTTTCTTCTGGAAATTCAGTATTAGCAATGACAATCATAAGGGTGTTGAATAGTGTGGGATGTGTCAGGTGCAGTTTGTACAATATTATATTTAGGTTTCTTATGGAGCCAGTAGCATCTACCCATTTTTTCTGCCCGAAACGCTTTGCGTAATAGTGGCTTTAGGCATTGTATGTACTAGCTCTATCTATAAATCCATCAACTTTTGTATCTTGCCTTGTATGTATGTACTTTACCTGAATAAATTTTGTATTTGTATATAGTATCATGTATGCAGCCACTTATATAAAGGGGTACACTCAAATAAACTGTTACAGGCGTGTAACTACAAGTAAAAGTGGTTTGATGGTTATACATATAGGTTTATAAACTTTTTAGAAAATACAGTCTATAGGAATCAATCACAGGTGTTGGATGTAGCACTAAAAAAGTTAGACCTACATAAGACGTTTTATTATTAAGTACTTAATATGACTAAAGTACTTTATGACTGTATGGTGATCTTACTCAATACACTTATGACTTTTGTGTAATTTTGATATACTGTACTGTACAGAGGATTGTATATTTTTGTATTTATTACATTCATATATTTTTCAGAGCTTGTGAAGAATGTCAAGACCTGCTAGAGCTGCTCCGCCTCCCCCACCAGTCCGGAAAGGTAAACGCAACTAGTTGTCAACTTTAGCTCTAGACTATATCCTCTGAAAGGTGTGTGTGTATAGCTGCTGAAGTTCAAATATAAATTTGAATTATGTTCATAAAAAATTAAGATAATACAACTTTATGCCACAATGTGGGATTACATAGATATACAGTGCAGGAGTGTATATTGTATAATACAATTTAATACAGTACTGTACTGTATAATTATGCACAGTGAGGGACATTGTGCCTACATTCTGTAGGCACATTGCTATTATTTTTGCGATCAACATTCACTTGTTATTATTTCTAATAGGAAGCTAAAAGGCTACTCAATGTTTATAGGTTCAGTATCTTTAAGGAATGTATGAAGCTACTTTCAATTTTTTAAATGCATTTTTGGAAGGTGTTATTTACAGTAGCATGGTTTTCCATTATTTGGGACAGGAAGCCTGTTGGGTTTACCTGAATTTGAGGGCTACTAACACTAGTGGTCTCTACGAGGACAGGAAGCTGGCAGCTTTTCAAAGGTTCCCTTCCCCCTGCATTTGCCTTGATTATTTTTTCCAGTTGGATATTAAAATTTAACAAGAGTTTTGGCATTTGTGGCTTCAGTGGGTAGGCAGTTCCATGGGTTTATAACCCTGTGGGTGAAAAGGCATCTCCTGTTTTCATTTGGCAAAAGGTTTCAACCTTTTGAAACCAACAAATGTTGAAACCATTTTTTGAGGGTCCCCTATAATATAATGACTAGTTAGAAATACAATACAGTTCTGAATTGCAATTGTAGTATGATATTAATTGTATCTTTTATCAAACAGGGCAGGTGCAGGCGTTTGAGGCCATGTCGAATTACAGAGCTCAGCGGGTGAGTAATCCATTATCTTGATCAGTTTCAATCAAACAATTGTTTTGTCTTTTTTCTATCTAATGTTTCAGAGATCTTAAATTGAATTTTGACATTTAATTATAGGCTTGGTATTGTATTGGATAATGATTTTGGTTTAAATTCATCCATGGTTAAAGTCATCATCATTGACGATGATGACCCCTCACCCAGTGCTTGGCTGCTTTGGGCAGGGGCTCCCTCAAGGGTGGGGAAGGAAGGGGGATGAGTGGGGTTCGCCAACAAGCGGGCGCACTGGCTGAGTGGACATTTGCTTATTTTTTGCTTCCTCTTGGGGGAAGTTCTTAGCCTCTATTCGGTCTGGGGTTGCAATGTTTTACCAGTTGGTGCTTGTAATTGTTTGCATACCTTTCTGGGTGATACCCCTGGTCGATGGCAGACCTAACTACTCTCACAATGTGGAGTGTTCATTAGCCATTGCTCCCTTTGCCACTCTGAGAGAACCAGGTTCTGGCTTGTGGTTCCCAGTAGGCATACGGACTCCAGTAACTGATGCTCTTAGACTAATATGCCGGATATCAGTCTGATAGCCTCAGGGAGCCTCCGGGACTCAACCCAGAAAATGGCGTATGGTGACATTCAACACTAGATTTTACCTACCCATCCTCCTGTTTATATAGTACTTTTTGTACCTATGTGGACCATCATACATATATAGATGTAATGGACAATTAGAAAGTAGAATTTGGTACTATGGTATTCACTTTCTAAGAGTCCAGAAAAATAAAAGCTAAAAACCAAACTTTATTATTACTAGGTCTAGTATAGCACAAATATGTACATTAGGCATTAGATAGAATGTATTACACCTAGGATGGTTAGGTTAGGTTTTATTAGCAACATAAATAGAAAATCTTTTTCCAATTTGTCCAAATTCAAAAGTACCAAATTCTACTTTCTAATTGTCCATTACAGCAATATATGTATGATGGTCCACATCATTACCATAAGTATTATCTAAACAGGAGGATGGGGATGATTTTTACAGTACAGATATAACATATATGTAACATATAGGTAACATATGTGTATGTTAAAATAAACAGCAAAAATTTGTATTTAACAACCTAACTTTATTTCAGGACTGTGAATTGTCCTTTGAGGAGGGCGACGTTCTTTTTATATTGGACCGAAGTAACCCAAACTGGTGGCTGGCAACTCTTGAAAACAAGAAGGGCTATATTCCTAGTAATTATGGTAACTATAACTTCAAACCTGTTTTTCTTCAGTAGCTCAGCATTCAGTGAGGCTTCTTACAGTGACAAGACATTGAGCATTTTGCACTACACAGGGCTGTTTTATGCTCGGGGCTACACAGGGCTGTTTCATGCTCGGGGCTACACAGGGCTGTTTCATGCTCGGGGCTACACAGGGCTGTTTTATGCTCAGGACAACACAGGGCTGTTTTATGCTCATAAAACCTTAAAACTTGTTTGCATTGATCACTTAATTAAATGTTACGTGTTGAGAAACCTGTCCACATAGACCCAGAAGTCACCTGTACACTATATTGGTCAATTGGTCATAGTGACCAAAAGCCAGCAGATTATTTCTACATTATATACTGTATTTACTATTTGTGTCTGCAAAATCAAGCTAGTATCTCTTAGACCCCGACCTTTCTAACTAATGTATTTTTCCCTCTATTATATCTTCTACATATATTTCTTTCTAACATGCATGCACGTGTGCGCATCACGACGTTTGTTAGGCCAAAGCTAGAATATGCAGTGGTTGTGTGGTGTCCATACCTTAAGAAGCACATCAACAAACTGGAAAAGGTGTAAAGACATGCTACTGGGTGGCTCCCGGAACTGAAGGGCAAGAGCTACGAGGAGAATGAGGTTAAAGGCATTAAATATGCCAAAACTAGAAGACAAGAAAAAAGAGATGATATGATCACTATGTCAAAATAGTAACAGGAATTGATAAAATTGTTAGGGAAGATTTCCTGAGACCTGGAACTTAAAGAATAAGAGGTCATAGATTTAAACTAATTAAACAAAGATGCCGAAGAAATATAAGAAAATTCACTTTCGCAGAGTCGTAGACGGTTTGAACAAGTTAGATGAGAAGGTGGTGGAGGCCTAAACCATCAATAGTTTCAAAGCGTTAGAATACAAAGAGTGCTGGGTAGACGGACACCACGAGCGTAGCTCTCATCCTGTAACTACACTTAGGTAATTACTTGGGTAATTACACCCCTAGTGTGCTTACCCCTAGTGGAATTCAAAAGGTTACACCCCTAGTGATAACACCTGCATCAGAGGAGCTCCAGGATATTTCACATTTCCTAAGTATTGTAGTACAGGTTGATGATAGTGAGTGGTGTCCCAAGGAACATAAAGTTATAGTGCTTTGGAAAAATATTAGAGACGACACGAATGTGCAAAGTGAAGTGAAAAATTGTTTGAAAAAAAGTTGCCCTAGTCCCAAGTCCCTAGTGCCCTGGTCCCAAGCCTGCACACAGAAATAACATCACAAGACCAGAAGGCATGGCAGGATGTGCAGAATACCCCTGTTGAAAAGCAGAGGTGCATCGGGTACTCTGAGAGGGAACTCTATCTACATCAGAGGCCCGAGACTGTTCAACACGCTTCCACTACAGATAAGGGGCATAACTGGCCGACCCCTCACAGTGTTCAAGAGAGAACTTGACAAACACCACCAAAGGATACCTGATCAACCAGGCTGTGATTCATACGTCAGGCTGCGAGCAGCCGCATCCAACAGCCTGGTTGATCAGTCCAGCAACCAGGAGGATGCTAAGCCCGGAAGCACCTCAAGGTAACCTCAAGGTAAGGTAGTGTTCACAGTGCAGACAACAACATTAAAGATAGCTGCCGGCAAGAAGGACAACTATAACAGAATAACAGAACTAGATATTGGGGTTGTAATGAAGAAAGCATTGATATAAGCAGTCTACACAACAAGTTGGCAAAATTAGATATGATAGTGAACTATCATTTAGAAATGATCAGCAAATTGAAAGAAAGTAATGAGCACTTGAGAAGCAAAGTATCAGGTCTTGAGGGGTTAGTGAAAGACTTTGTGCAAGGACAAGAATCAATTGAAAACAAATTGCAAAGCCATGGAAGAGGAAAATAAACTTTTAAAAATAGCTTTGGAAGAAGTTAAAGCAAATGTAAACATAAATGACTACGATAGGTTAGGTAAGGAAATTCAACAGGAAAAACAGCTTTTGTCAGTATAGATGGAGGAAGTTACACAGGGAATAGAACAGTGCAAGAAAGGTATGCAACTCACCTATGCACAAGTGGCCAAGGAGAAGGAAAAAATAGAAGCAGCAGTAAAGGAAGCCAAACACTGCAGCAACCAGGATAAAACAAACATTAGGTGGGAAGTGAGAAAAGAACTGGCATCTAACCCAAAGTTGGTGCAAAACACAATTGATCGAAGTAAGTCCCAATAATTTTTGGTTGCAAAGAAAAGGAGATAACATCTAGGTCAGAAAGAGCTGTAGAAGAAGAGAAAGTAGTAGATAAAATTGTTGGCCTCGTGGAAGGTCTTACTACCATTGAGAATGTCTGCGATTACAGGAGGATTGGAAAGTACGTAAAAGGGAAAGAGCGACCTTTGAGGATCACCCTAAATGGTGCCAAACAGATGGAAGAAGTACTTAGGAATGCTAGAAATTACAGTGATGGGGTAGGGAAAGTATCGTCATTAAGATGAGATCTTTCAAAAGAAGACAGAGAGAAGCTAAAACTGAACCTTGTTGAGGCAAAGCATCTAAATGAGAATAGGAATGAAGAAATCAATTAGTTTTTCTATAAAGTGATAGGGGTAGGCAGACCAGTAAAATGGTACAAAAAGGCAAACCAATAAAATCACTAGAGAAAGGGGTGGTGAAGAATAAGGAGCGGGGGAGTAATATGTTCCTGAAAATTGCATACACCAACATAGATGGAGTGAGATCAAAGATACTGGAGTTAAGGGATGTAATACAGCTGCAGACACCAGACATTGTTGCACTCACGGAGAGAAAACTTGATATTTTAAATGAGGTCATATTCCCAAGGGGCTACTCAATTTGGAGACGGGACAAAAAAAATTAGGAAAGGCGGTGGCGTTGCTGTGCTGGTGAACGAATATTTCTAAAGGTAAATGAAATAATGATTGCCAATCCACGAGACGTTGACATAATAGCACTAGAGATCTGCAATCAGGGTGATAAATTAACGATCATAAATGCATATAGTCCACCGCCATGCAACACATGGTCAGAGGATGAGCTTCTGTCTTTTAGTTTTGGCATATGTAATGCCTCTAACCTCTCCTCGTAGCTCTTGCCCTTCAGTTCTGGGAGCCACTTAGTAGCATGTCTTTGCACCTTTTCCAATTTGTTGATGTACTTCTTAAGATATGGGCACCACACAACGGCTGCATATACTAGCTTTGGCTTAACAAAAGTCATGAACAATTTCTTAAGTATTTCGCCAACCATGTATTTAAAATCAATTCTGAAATTAGAAAGCGTAGCTTAGGCTCCTCGCACAATGTTCTTTATGTGGTCCTCAGGAGATAGTTTTCTATCTAGAGCCACCCCTAAATCTCTTTCTTTATCAGAATTCTTTAAGGATTTCTCACATAATATATAGGTTGTGTGGGGTCTATGTTCTCCTATTCCACATTGCATAACATGGCATTTATTCACATCAAATTCCATTTGCCAAGTGGTGCTCCATATACTTATTTTGTCCAGGTCTTCTTGAAGGGCATGACAATCATCTAAGTTTCTTATCCTTCCTATTATCTTAGCATCATCAGCAAACATATTCATATAATTCTGTATACCAACTGGTAGATCATTTATGTAGACAATAAACATCACTGGTGCAAGAACTGAACCCTGTGGTACTCCACTTGTAACATTTCTCCAGTCTGATACATTGCCTCTGATTACTGACCTCATTTTTCTATCAGTCAGAAAATTTTTCATCCATGTTAGAAGCTTGCCTGTCACCCCTCCAATATTTTCCAGTTTCCAGAACAACCTCTTATGTGGAACTCTCTTGAAAGCTTTTTTTAGGTCCAGATAGATGCAGTCAATCCAACCATCTCTTTCCTGTAAAATCTCTGTTGCTTGATCATAGAAATTCGATACAGAGGATCTTCCAGATCGAAAACCATACTGTCTGTCTGATATTATATCATTTCTCTCCAGGTGTTCTACCCATTTAATTTTGATTAGTTTTTCCAATACTTTCACTATTACACTTGTCAATGATACAGGTCTATAATTGAGGGGGTCTTCCCTGCTGCCACTTTTGTAGATTGGAACTATGTTAGCCTTTTTCCACACGTCTGCTACGATTCCTGTATACAGGGATGCCCGAAAGATCAGGTGAAGTGGAATGCTGAGCTCAGATGCACATTCTCTCAGAACCCATGGTGAAACTCCATCTGGACCAACTGCTTTGTTCTTACTTAGATTCTGGAGCATTTTTTCCACTTCGTCTCTAGACACCTCTGTGTTCTATGTTGTTCTCTGGAATTCTTATTGTGTCTGGTTCTCTGAAGATCTCATTTTGTACAAACACACTTTGGAACTTTTTGTTTAATGTTTCACACATTTCCTTTCATTTTTCCATGTATCTGTCTCCCATTTTTAACCTCTGAATATTATCCTTTACCTGCAGCTTGCTTTTAATGAATTTATAGGAAAGGCCTGGATCTGATTTACATTTGTCTGCTATACCGTTTTCAAAGTTCCTCTCTGTCTCTCTCCTTACTGACGTGTAGTTGTTTCTCGCATCTTTGTATCGCTGGTATGTTTGGGCGTTTGGCCTCTTCCTATAATGATTCCATGCCTGTGTCTTTTGATCTCTGGCCCTCTCGCAATTTCTGTTGAACCAATCCTGTTTCCTAGGTCTGCATCTCTGTTTTGGTATGAATGTTTGTGTGCCTTCATCGTATATTTTGCAAAATATGGCATACGTCTAATTTACTTCCTTACCTAACAACAAGTCTGTCCAATTATACCCATGATTTTTTTTTTTAAGTTCCCCATAGTGTCCTCTTGAAATCGAGTTTTAACAATGTGTGTGTGTTTTTTTATTTGTAATGTATTAAGAGGACTTAAGATGTGAACACATAATAATCTTACAGCTTTGTATTCACACACAACCCTGGATCAAAGAATGCTAGCTTAAAAATGTCTTGGTTTTCTTTACAGTTAGTAGTGACAATGCAAAGGTACCTATTATTGATGCTGCAAGACGTGGGAATTTGGCTTTATTAGAGGAATGTCTAGCAGCTGGTGTGTCGGTCAATGCCCTAGACAAGTCTGGCTCATCGTCTCTACATGCTGCAGCACAAGGTGGACATAGAGAATGTGTTTTAAGACTGCTTAAGGAACCAAAGCTTGAAATTGACCTACAGGTAAGTGTCAATGATTTTTTTAAAACCTCATATGAATCAACTCCTTTAACTACATAGTTATATGTCCGAAGTGTTATTAATTTTGAGAAGTACATGTAACGTATACAAGTTTTGATGACAACATTCATAGTTCAGTTTTTTTTTTATATTTATGTAATCTCCCAAATGAGCAGAGTGCCTTAAGGTGCTCTGAGAGTTGTGCTATTTTTTTTTAATTGGGCTATATTTTAATGTGTTTTTAATGATGTTTTCATTACTCTGTGTTTTGAAATGAAAATGGCTGAGTTTGGAAACATTTTGACATTAACTTTACCTAAACATTTAAAAAAAAATATGTCCTTAACAATTTCACTATGAAGTTTTTACCAAAACCAGCTGTGCTGTGCATTGGTTAATATAGTCTTGGTTACAGCAGTAGATTGTTGGATATGTAATGATGTGTTGTGATAGGTGAGACGAGGCTTGGAGCAGTGAGCTTGAGAGAGGCTGGGGGGTAGAGAGCTGAAATGCTGCCTGCTTTGTGAAAAGGCTGTAGCATCTTGCGAGGGTAGAAACTAGACTCGTCAAGTGTTACATTGTTGCTAGTGAATGTTGATGGTGTTGGAGAAGATCTGAAGTACACAGAGAGTTTGTCACCGAACCACTACTCATGTTAGAATGACGATGTACGGTTCATGACGGCCTACATTCCATGCTTTATCTGACTTGCCAAGTTGACCATCATCTTGCTGGTTATCTTTTGGCTGTCCTGAGGTCCTGGAACCCTTGGAACCCTTGTGAACCCTTGGGAAGGAGTATCAGATGTAATTAGTGCACATAAGATTAGTCTAGAACTTCTTGGAATGTGGACTTTGTAGGGATAAGTTATGTGGAATTAACAGGCACATCTAGTTGCTTGCAAACTTCAAAACCTGGTTACATAAAATACTGTATAGGATATCTTGAGATGATTTCGGGGCTTGAACCCGGAACCTCAGGACTACGAATCCGAAGCACTGTCCACCCAGCTGTCAGACGTTTTATCTTTAAGCTTAAGCTTAAGCTTAAGTCATATGCAATACAGGGAAGAAAAGAAGTTATCATCAATAAATTTGTTTTCTGCTTGTATTTGTGGTAAGTTTGTTGTTGCTTGTACTTGACAGAACAAACTTGGAGACACACCTCTACATTGTGCTGCATACAGAGGACATGGAGAAGTGGTGCAGTTGCTGTTAAAACATGGAGCAAATAAGGAAATTGTCAACAGGTAAGACATTGACTTGCATGTAAAGTACTGAGAATCTGATACAGTAAGGAATACAATGACAGGGAACACATTGTTGTGATTATAAAGCTCTTGATTATAAATACAGGGAAAGAGGTAGAGTAAAAGGTTGAAAGAGAAAATTTAACCCAAAGAGAGAGCGAGAGAAGAGACCAATATGAGTACAGTATAGAGTGTGTTAAGGGAAAGAATGTGAGCGAGAAACAAAGGGTATGGAGATATTTTTTGTGGAATAGTGAGAAGCCAAGTTATAGTTAAGGGAAGTAAATATGGAGCAAAAGAGGCGTGTAGTGTATATAAAATATTCTAGAGGATAAATAGCTATGCCCACATCTCTCTCTCCTCTTCACCACCCCCCTTGTCTCATCCCCCATCTCCTTGCTCCTCTCTCAAAATCTTTCCCTCTCTCCTCCCTCCCACCTCCATAATGAAATGGACTATTGCAATATGGAGTTAGTAGATGTAGCAGTAGTACAGTAGTTTATTTAATGGAATGGAAATACATTCTGTATTTTAGGTGTAGTTTAGAAAAACAACTGGACTCTCTCATAACATTGTCTTTGGATCCTATCAGAACATAGAGTAAATAGTAATTTAAGGTGAATGGGATCAACATCAAAAAGAAACAAAGAACATAAAGGACACAAGTAAGCACTTTAACAAAAAATGCAAGAAATATGATGACAATAATTGTAGAAAGTACATAATACTACTTGGTCTTAGTCTACTTGGTCTCTTGGCCTGGTCTTAGAATTGCACTTTTAAGATGTGTACAAGTGTATGGTTGACTTAATTTAACATTAGTGCAAAGTTATTTGAAGAGTTAAATATGGAGTTTTAGTTTATCAGTAACAGTATCTTCTTTTGAAAGTTGCTGTCAAAATGTTTAGATCTCGTGAAGTGTGATTGATTTCTGAACTTTACTGTTGTAGGAGAAGGCATACTGTACCTAATAAGGTTTGGTTCTTTTGATAAAGACGTATTTATAGCAGCCACTGTATATGACTATAGCCATGGAGGTGGCTGTTGGAGAGGAAGACTTCAGTGAGGTTCGGGTAGATTTGACATGATTAATCACCAGATTCAGACTTGGGAAAAGTCTGTAAAAGTTAGGAGAGAGGGATGCAATTCGCTGGCAACTGTCACAGAATGTGGCTTAACTGGTGCATTGCTATAACAAGCCTTGGAGGATGAAGATGGAGAGAGGGCCATAAAATGTTAAATAACGGGTTCATTCTCCTACATCAACACCCATCATGCAGCTTAAAAGAGAAGGCACATGCATAGACCTTCAGGGATAATAGGGATTATATACAACTCACCATTGAAGAGCATGATAGCACTCCAAGGAACAGTAGGGACACTAAATCCTCAGTACTGTACTTGCTTGACTTAGGCATTTTATTACAAACCAGCCAATTGGCAGCCCATGAGCAGACTTGACTCACAGATGAAGGAAAATAGGGACTACAGTATATGGTTCTTTGCTTGCCATGCATGAAAAGCACATGGGGGGGGGGGAACTAAACCATGATAAACCATTTGGTCTGACTCGATCACCTTTGGCCAGAAGTATTACATGTATTAGGATTGTGTTGTAGAGCTCCTCATACAAGGCTCTGTGGGAAAGTTCTTGGGAATCGCCGAGGGGCTTCCAGAAAGGGGCATTTATTATAATCGATGTTCTGTTTCTGGTGTGGCCACTGAGGGCCACACCAGAAATGTAGCATTGATTATAATAAAATGCCCATTTCTGGAAGCTTCTCGGTGGCTCCCCTTCCTACTTGCCTGTGGATTGGGGGAGTTTCCTCAAACTCAAAAGTGAGGACTGGGCAGTATTGGGCTTCGGTTTCACTAGCAGTGTCATCCAAAATAATATAGTTTGCTTGGTATTCATACCAAATTTTTTTTTTTTTCTTTACCCTATTTAGGAATATTTTTCAGTTTTTTCTCATGGTGTGGTGTCTTTTGACATCAACTGCCCTGCCTCTGTTTAAGGGAGGCAAGATTCTAGTCCAGGCTCTTAGGACATGCAATAGTTTTAAGATGCCCAAGATGGTTTTGGGGGAGTCACTGAAGGATCCCCAGAGAATGGTATTTCATTATCTTCACTGCTCTGTTTATTATTATTATTATTATTATTATTTTATTATTTTTTAATTTTTTTTTTTACAGGGATCAGTACACTCCAAGGACCCTTGCAAAGAGGGGGACTATTATTACTCTTTTAGATGAGGATAGCCAAACTAGTGATAGAAAATCTTCAGGCTTTGATGACAAGGAATATGGTGCAAATGCTTCTGAAGATTCTGACGATTGATTTGCAATTTGCAAAATGTAGCTGTGCCTTATATATCGGCATTAATTTTATATGAATTTTACATTCAATGTAATTCATAAAGAAAAGTGCATAGATGTTTTATAGGTGGCTTTTTGGTTTGGCTCAAATGTCGTTGACAATTTTTGGTATGGTACGTCTCCACTCCTCATTGCTATTTTTCTTGACCCATTCCTCTCTGTATGTATTCTTCCTTTTTTCATTTATTTGCTTGTATACACTTCCTCAATCATTCATTCTTTCCATATATTTTTGTTTCTCAATGTAAGTAAATAGCAACTTCAAATGTTGCTCACTTGAGGGCAGATTACAATGTTTGGTGAAAAATCTGCAATGTGCCATAAACGTATCTAAAAAAAAAAAACTGATTTCAAAGTCAAAGTATGTTTGCTTACTGCCTTACTTTAATCTGGAACAGTGACCCTTAACGTGTCATTGGAAAATGATAAAATACTAAAATGTTGTAATTTTCATGTACCCTGTACTGTGTAACTTACTGCATTCTAATTAAACAGATTAAAATGTACAAAAGGTGTATGAAATATTTTACAAAATTATTTTCAAGTTACCAAGCTAACTTGGAGGAGAGGAGAATAATACCATAAATGAGCAATATATTGCCATGGCCTTATGTACATAATATTTTATATCTTGTGTTGAAACACTTCATTCCTTAGTACCAAATGCTATAAATTTTATTGTGACATGTATAGGTATGTATGCACATGTGTATGTATATATGTATATTATAATATACATATATACAGTACATATATAATATAAAAGTAAATAAATGAGTAGATGTTATATATAATACTATATTTTAATATAAATTTTTTAGCCGACATGCTATCATTAAATTATTTTGTGAAGAGTGTTGACTCGTGCCAAAGTGGTACAGTATACGGTCCGTTGTTAATGCCTTAACTATAACACTTAAACATTTACAATAAAGGAAAACAGTCCTGCCCTCTGTAGCCATTAGATTGGTTGAGTCCAAATTCAACTTGGTGTACACTGAGTTTAGATTTGCTGTTTTCTTAGACTGTACTTAGTTTTGTTTTGCAAATAATAAGGTGTGTTTGAATCATTTGTTTTGGCAATTATATTATGTAATAAGAATATACATCACCTGAAAATTACTATAATATATGTAGTGTCATTTAGTGTCTCCCTCTAAATGACTGACCAAATTCACCCACCGGACTCTTCTGAAATTGTGAAAACATATCCAGAATCTAGCGGGAGACATTGTTATGAACTGACCATCCAGATTTAAAAGTAGTTTCCTTCAAATTATATTTTTTGTTCTTATTGTATTACCATTATTTCATTGAAATATAAATGAATTTATATTGAGAATTGTTTCATTAAATTATAGATGAATTATTATTAAACTTTGCATGGTCTATAAATTACATAACAAGTTTGTAAGATCTTTCCGAGGCATCCAAACCTACTTTGTTTGTGTTGTCCGAGCTTTTATTATTCAGTCATTTTCACTAGTTTTTATATTTATATATTATTTGCAAGTTGATGCCATGTGATGCTGAGAGTAGGCAAAGGGAAGAGGATGCCCTGACTGTAGATAATAGTTATTAATAAAATGTGATCATGACTGAGAAGAAAACTGAATGACAGAAACTGCAATAGTTACCATGCTGAATGTGTCTGACATTCAAGATGCAAAGGTAGCACATCATATAATTTACAATAAAATATAAGAGCAGTGGTAGTGTGGGGCAAAAAAAAAAAAGTGCATTAAGCATGAGGATTTAGATAATGCTTGCCAATGATTTCTACATTACTGTAAGCTAGTTGAATGATAATCTGTAGCCAAGAGATAGACATTAACAATGTGTATTGAGGTTGTGAAGGAATGTTCCAGGCAACTGCACAAGTACGTCACCATGACAGTGCTATAAGGGCATTTTGCTACTTCCGTTATCATGACCAGCCTGTGCTACAACAAGGTAAGTGTGCAGTAGTTATATTTTGTGCATTGTTATTGACAAATCCATTGTTAATTTGTGTACCCCCTCAGTGGACGGTGCCTTGATGCGGTGAGGGGGGGCTCTTGTGCACTACATGTGGGTAGAACGAGGGGGTAGCTCCTGATCTCTCTTCTGCTTGCTGTGGTGGTGCACAAGCAAGATCCATATGTTGGCTGTGAATTGAGACCTATTTTCCATTCTTTGAATGGACATTTGCTCTTGTGTTCCTTCATCAGGAAGTTGAGCCTACCCAGCAGTTGTGATGCCTGGGAGTCGCGACACTACTTTGGAGAGGGGATGGGGAGTAAAACGGGATCTTCTTGAGGTTATCTTGATGATTTCGGGGCTTGGTGTCCCCGCGGCCCAGTCTTCGACCAGGCCTCCACCCCCAGAAAGCAGCCCGTAGTAGCTGTCTTAACTCCCAGGTACTGTACCTATTTACTGCTAGGTAACAGGGGCATTAGGGTGAAAGAAACATTTTGCCCATTTGTCTCTGCATCCACCAGGGATCAAACCCGGAACCTCAGGATTACGAATCCGAAGCGCTGTCCACCTAGCTGTCAGGCGGCCCAGAAGGTTCAGTGCATCCCTTTTGAACCAGTCGGTTTGTCTGGTTAGCCCGTCAAGTTAAATATGAGGTTAAATGGGCATTGTAGGGTTATTACCCCTGTTGGTCTCTGGGTTGCCATTCAGCCAGCAATGGTGACCCACATATATTCTGGTTATTCCCGAGATTGCTTGCCCTTGTGTCTCCCCCATGTGGGCTCTGTGGTGGGTAAGGGTGCTGGATAGCGAAGTCTTTATCTGATACTTAAATTCATCTCAGGTGAATGGAATCTGATACTCGTTTAGACTAACTTCTGACCTTATTTCTCCTCACTTATGGGGTGGGTGGCCGGGCTCCCAAATCGGATTGCGATAGTAAGATGGGCTCCATTGAGCCCAGACTTTGTCTTTGACTACCTTACTGACTTTCTTGGTTCCCCTCCCACATGGAATCACTAACATGGCTGAGTTAGCCCCAATTGTATGTTGAAACCAGTCTTGTTACAGGATCATCGTGATCATTACTGTCTTTGCTCTCACACACGTCTCTGCAACATCCTCATTCTCGCTTTTGCTGTTGCCCCTCGTGTAGGCCTTGTTCCCTTTCACCACCACCTTTACAGGTCTCTCTTACAGGCCTCCCTTTTGGTTTGTGTTTGCAATGTCTCTCATGTTGTTCCATCCTTGCCTGCATGGATGGTTCCACTTTCAAAGTTTTGCAAGACTTTGATGTACATGACCGTTCTAAAACGCCTTTTCCTTGAGCACTTTTCTTCTCACTCCCACTCCGTTTCCGTCTTCACCGACGGGTCCAAGTCTGTGGACGGTGTTGGCTACTTTGTTGTTTTTCCTGATCACACTTATGTGTCGCTTACCTCAGGAGACTAGCATCTTCAGAGGATCTTTATACTATTCTCTATGCTCTTCGTCTCCTGCTCTCTCCTTGTCAATCTTCCTTTGTAGTTGTTGTTGACTCTCGTAGTGCCCTCATGGCTCTCGGGTCCTTTAATCCGGTTCATCCAGTAGTTGTCGAGATCAAGCATTGGCTGTTTCTTGTTCACAGTAAATTTAAGTCGGTTGAGTTTTGTTGGGTTCTATTATAGTCTGTGGGTTGGTTGGTGTTGTCGTCGTTGATTCTTCTCTATGGACAACCCAACCCACAACTCGGTAGAGTGCTTATACTAGGAGATCACCCTTGGCGCTTCTGGCTCTTGGAGAGGGGCTCAACGTCACATGTTTAGGGGATGCGACTCCAACACTTAGCCTCGTTGTCACGTGCACACACCCACTCGAGCCGCTGTGACTCCCCACTCTCTCCTTATGAGATATGATCTCAATCCCCTATGACTTACTAGTATTACCTTCTACCCTGTCCACAGCAGTGGTTCTTGATTCTTTTTCTCTCTCTCTCTCTCTCTCTCTCTCTTCTTCTGTACTATTTCATGGGAAGCCTCACTAGGACAAGGGCAAACACCAGCAATTGGAATACATTTACCGGACAAAGCACATACACAATACATACACACACATAATAATAATGAATCCTATACTCTATACTATTACAATCAGGTTGCACTCCACCACCAACAGAACTCTATCATCAGCTTATCGAGTGGTATCCTATCTTCTGATTCACCACCTGATACTATCAACCTTCTCAAGTTGATCCAGTCTACATACACTGTTGCACTATCAACATGAGAATATATATATATATCTATAAATGTGTACAAAGAATATCAGCATGTGAATGCAATAACATATATCAGTATAAATGTTCCTTGATACACAACAATGATCAATCGATCACCCTATCAGTCCTAGAACACATACATCTGTAGGTAATCCAGCCTACGCCTGCAACTCTAAACTTCAGTATAAAACACTCCTTGACATCAGAATACCAACAATCACTCACCTCTCACTGCGTCTTGCACGCTAATGACAACCAAACACTATCAACTCCCTACAAGTAATCCACCAGAACTTCCCTTCCACATCTGGAAGTTCACTACCCTAATATCCTTAGGTTCTTCCGGGCTTCACTACCAGGATCCTCTGCAGCTCCTCCAGGCTGCTATCATGAAGTTTCCTTGAGCAACTACGGTGCTTCACCCTTCTGCTAGGTTCCTCCACAGCTCTCCTGGCTGCTACACCATGAAGTTCCCTCGAGCAACTATGGTGCTTCTCCACCTCTACAGAAGCACATGACACTCCTCTTCACTGCTTCTCCTCACAGCTCGAGGTCCTCTGCTTCACTACTTTGGAGTCTCATCAATTACTTCACCTATGCTGGCTTCGAAGTTCTCAACAACTTCTTCCCCAAAGACAAACCTGCAACCCATCGACACTCCAATAAAAATGTTTCCCCTTTAACACAAACAAAAATAATCACACAATATGTTTGCCTCAAACCTCTATCTGTCCTCTACATACAGTGAGAGTGGACTCCCCCGTTTTGGGCGGGTCCATACTCCACCTCGCCCGGCGGCGGTCCTCACGCTGGGAGGGTCTTCCACCGTCAGGAGCCGACTCCCTCAGTTGCCTGCCAGCGCTCTGAGGGGATGGACGTCGCTCCATGTTCCTCCCTCTCCACTCTCTTATTTTAGGCTTTCTGCCTTATTAAAACATGTCTAACTTATCAATAAACATTGCTACTGTCGCTGGGCACACGACCAACTACAAGCAATCACTATGAACTGGCGTATATCGTGCTTACCACAGATATCTGGTCGAGGGCGCTCTCCCTCTGACGGCGTCTGGTCAGGGCGCTCCACACAGCCCACGAAAATGCCTCTGAGCAGCTTATTAAACTCTCCTCGCCGTCCAAGACTTGAGCCCACAACGTTCTCAGCTCAATTCCATAGCTGGCACGTCTGCACACTTCTCTTCTCTTGGAGATATATCACTAGGGGTTCCTTTCTGACGGGAGCCCAACGGAGCGCGGCTTTCCCCTGCGATGTCTGGCACTCAAGTGAGGTCAAAGCCCCTCCAGAAGCGAGCCTCACGCCTCCAGCAAAATGTCCACATCTCCTAGCCAGTCATTTATCTATTTCCTTACTTACTGCCCATAATCTTAAACTGTTCATTGAATCCACCATACTATTTTTCATATGGGTTATCACCTCAATATTTGCTAGACCTTCTAATCAGGTCAGGCTTGCTGAATAACTCTCAAGGAGGGAGACTCGTTTCTCCTGTAGGCTGAGATCATAACACTCCCCTCCCCTTATTTTTGAGACTTATTCCAGTGGCAAAACTCGGGATAATACATCCGCCACCACACTGTCTCGTTCTTCAACCGATTGGTTCGACCGGTTGATCTGCTTACGTACTCCCTTAGGAGTCTACAATTAGTTCGTTGCACCTTGCAACATCCGGCTCACAACGTGCCAGAAACATGATCTTCTCACAAACGATTTGACTTCTCTAGCACCTCTTAGCTAGGCTGTCCTCCTTGGACGCCTGCACTCCATCGGTCCACTCTACTTACTGTTTCCACCCTCCGTTTCCTCGTCTTCTTCTCTTCACGTCCAGAGTCAGACATCTACTGTCTGTACCTCCTCTGTCGTCTTCACACTTCCATCTACTACCATTATACTTCCGTCTCCTGTCATCATACTTCACTCCCTCGTCTTCACCGACGCTCCTCCCTTTCGTCTCCTCATTTATCTGAGACCTCATCCTGTTCGACTCCCACCGAGTCCTCGGCTTTCCTCTATTCCTCCATGCTTGTATCATCTTCCTCTTCCCACACTTTTCACCTCTGTACAACTCCATTTCTTCTCCTTCAACTCTTCTTCGTTCCCTCTTTACCTC